CTCTGCTTGGAAAGCCTATGCTCATAGTCCTCAGTGAGGTGCTTCTGCTGAGCCTCCTTCTCGGTCAGATCCAATTTGAACTGAGCTGTTTTGCCAATTCTTTCTCGTGGTGGCTGCTGTCGTGAAGGCTCCCTGAAGTCCCTTGTGCTCAAATGACCCGAGACCTGCAATCTGATTTACCTAAAGGGGACCCAGTGAGCTCGAACTGGTCGGTCTCTGACCAGATGGGCAGAATATTTTACGATGAATTCAGCATCTGAATGGCGAGAAGCAAGCTTTGAAGAGATAAAGGGGTGGTGAGGCCAGCTTTGGAGATGCTGACGCAGCTTTTTTTTAAGGCTGGTGGTATTCTTGGAGACTCTGCAAAGAAGAACTGGGTTGAAATCTCCGGTTCTCTTTCCTTAGAGGGCAATTACCCCAATCAGAAGTTCCCCCTGAGAACCCGTCTAGAAAATAGGACAGAGAAAACAGCCCCATTCCCCACCGTTTCGCACGGGAGCAAATCTGCAGCTCTGCATTCCCAATTTATACCAGTCCATTTGTGAGGCGGGGAAAGAGAAGCAATTCCTTCTGGCTCTTCGCTTTTGCCAAAAGACTAACAAATGGGGAGAAACGTGGAACAGACGTGAGTGAGGGACTATCAGGAATTCACCCTACAATTCTACGGTTTGCGTCCTCTTTAAAATTCTGCAGCCTGTGCACGCAAGCTGAGGATAAACTGGATAAACTGAGCCAAAGAATTCGAAACTGGATTCTGAAATCCATAAGCGGTCCTGCTTAAATCATGACAATAATTCCTACTGGCATAGTGTGTGTGTGTTTTTTTCATTCATGGTTCTATTTAAGTCGAAATTTTTGCACTGGATTTGACTCTGCTGGGCCAAAATTCCAGAAGCCTGGAACAATCCTGCACCAATTGCATTAATCTTGCAAGCCAACCTGCCTCCGTAAAGCCTTTTTTTTCCCCCCAACGTAAACTGAAGGCTGAGACGCTTAAGAAGTCCCATTTTTTTTCCTCCCTCCCACCATTCCAGCCTACACACAAGTCCGGCTTATTACTATGCCAAGACATAAATAACTGAGCCAGCTCCAAAGCAATTGCCTGTCTCTTCGCTTAAGCTGGTTTTATGTTCTGCATCCCAAGAGTTTGGGCCAAGAGAGAAAATATGGTCTGGGGGAGGATGGGAGAACCGTCAAACAAAGTAGGAAAAACGAAGGCGACAAAAAAAGGGAAGCTTGAAATCAAGCAGCTTAATTCAAAATACAAAAGAGAGGGAGCTTTGGGGCTGCCCTAAAACTTAAATAAGTTTAACATGTTGCATAATTTGCTCCTCTCTTTGATTTTAGACCTACACCCCCATTGTTGGCCTTGAAGTGATGCACCATCCACAGAGCCCACAAGCAACTTTTCAGATGTTCTTTGTGACTCTTCTACTCCTCCAAAGGCCAGAGGTCCAGGGAAGACATCTGGAAGAGAAGGAAGGCTTCATCTCCAAGTAGCCAAAGTCTTCTGACTTCCATGAGCTCCTCAACCATCACAAATGTCCAAGATGGGACAGCAAATTCCCAAACTTCTATTTGATGTTCAGTCTAGAGAAATCCCTGCCCATCTCGAAGAGAAGCTTGGAACAGTGTTAAACTGTAGGTGGATTTCAGTGGTGGGTTTCAAAATTTATTACTACCAATTCTGTGGGTGTGGTTTGGTGGGCGTGGCTTGGTGGAGGTGGCAGGGGAAGGATACTGCAAAATCCCCATTTCCTCCCGATCAGCTGGGAGTCGGGAGGCAGAGAATAGATGGGGGCGGGGCCAGTCAGAATTTTTATTACAGGTTCGGTGGGCATGGCTTGGTGGGCATGGCAGGGGAAGGATACTGCAAAATCTGCAGAGAATAGATGGGGGCGGGGCCAGTCAGAATTTTTACTACAGGTTCTCCAAACTACTCAAAATGTCTGCTACCAATTCTCCAGAACTGGTCAGAACCTGCTGAAACCCACCTCTGGTGGCTTTCTTTCTTTTAAGGGAAAGAACTTAGGAGTGATTAGTTTAGTTGTATTTTTTTTTAAATCAGCAAATTTTACTCCAAAGGTTCATCAAGATCTCTATTGAATTTATGATTTGGTTTGCTTGCTTCAGATTGAAAAGAGGCTGAAGATATGTTGGCCATTGAGATGTCCTTTGCTAGAGCTCCCAGATGCCCCAACCAGCTTGGTCAAGGATGAGGAATGCTGAGAATTGTAGCGTAGGAACATCTGGAAGGCCAGAGGTTTCCTATTCCTAACTTAGGGTCTTCCATGTATCTTTAGCTAAATATGATCATCAATCTAAATTGCTAGATGAAGTCCGAGCCCAAACTGAAACACTGAATAGCTTCTGAACAAAGGAGGCGACATCAAGATCACGAAGACAAATGTAGCTGGGTTTTTATCCGAACTTCAAAAACCAGAAGGGCTTCTATCTGTTGCGCATCCTTTTATTTCTCTTTAGAAATTCAATCTGTTGAATTCAAATGCAATCTTTTGATCTCAGCAGCCTACAGGCCAATTACTGTCCCTTGACTACAAGCACCTTTCCATGGACCTTGATGAAATGGAAATCCCTTTACAGGAGATCAGAAGCCTTGAAGACATCGGTTCAAAAGCGCTAAGCACCTTTCTTTCTGGAGGTATTTCAAGGAGCAGCAGGGAAATCAGAGGCTGCTTTGATAACTCACTCTTGGCTATGATTCAATAAGAAGAGTCTTGAAGCCCTTTGAGGTACCAAAGCGGCAGACATGGCTTCTATATTTCATGCCAGAAGATCTCCACTGTCAAAGTAAATGATCTCTACAGGATCCATCCAGGGAGGAGAAAAATATTTACATACACAAAGAAATCCTACCAACTTTTTTTACCCTTCCTGCTTTGAGGACTCCATCCAGAGAGGCAGGAAGGAACCTTCAACCAAGCCATGTCCAAAATCACCTCCTATATTCTGCAGGATAAGCCTACCAAGAAGACCCTGTCCTTCAAGACTTGCTCCTTCCATGAAACTGCCAGGGACCCTCCTGTTGTGCCAAAACCTCTGTCTGACCTCACAACACCTGTTCCTCCTTCTTTTGTTCTCACACCCGTATCTAGCATCACACTCCAAGATGGGGGATCCTGTATTGACCATCAATAATCTCCTTTTTAGATGTCAGAGCCAAATTCAGAATTTGTGAGACAAGACAAATGCAGAAATGTGTCAGAAATGCCATTGACCTGAGATTCACTGTTAAGAAAGCCCTATGTCACAGTCTTAATACTTTCATACTAACACAAGGAACTCAACATGTGTTAAAACACATTTTTAAGCTACAGAGATGATCAGGGGACTGGAGGCTAAAACATAGGAAGAACGGTTGCAGAAACTGGGTACGTCTATTTTAATGAAAGGAAGGACTAGGGGTGACGTGATAGCAGTCTTCCAACATCTCAGGGGCTGCCCCAAAGAAGAGGGAGTCAAGCTATTCTCCAAAGCACCTGAGGACAGGACAAGAAGCAACGGATGGAAACTCATCAAGGAGAGAAGCAACTGAGAACTAAGGAGAAATTTCCTGACAGTTGGAACAATCAACCAGTGCAATGACTTGTCACTAGAAGTTGTGGGGGCTCCATCACTAGAGGCTTTTAAGAAGAGACTAGAGAGCCATTGGTCTGAAATGGTATAGAGCTTCCTGCCTGAGCATGGGGTTGGACTAGAAGACCTCCAAGGCCCCTTGGAACTCTATTGTTCTATGAAATAAGGTGCCATTTTGGGAAAAGGACAATGAATCAACTGCTGCTGGTTAGATGTATATACTTTTAGGACACCATTAGCTAAACCATGGTTTATTCCACCAACCATTGCCTTTGCACAATAAACCCTTGAGAGAGTTTACAACCCAACAGCTGAGGCTCATCACACACTCAACACAACCAACAGGCAATTCCGACAAAGGGCAGAAGGGAAGAGGGGGCAGAAAAACCACCACGCCCCCTCCCCAAAAAACACAGAAACCAAACCCTTGAACTGCTTACAAACCACCATCTAAATCATGACGCTGAAAAATTTCAGGTGCTTGAAACCCATTCAACAATCAATCTACCCATTTTGTCCTCGGGGGCTTATAAGGGGCGGGAGGGGCTGCAAAGGGCAGCATTAAATGCCAACAAAATGCAAAGCTGCTACAAAACCAGAAAACGGGGTGAAGAGAGCAGAAGCAACTTATCCGACGGCGTCGGGGCGCCTCATTTAGGACTAGCGCCTCTCTTAAAAAGCAGAGACCTTCCTGAGCAGCAGTTCCAAGGCACAGAGTGGCCGGGCTGATGTGGGACGTTGGGTGCGAGTCGTGCGTTTAAACAATCAAAACAAAAACCGCCGCCAGTCTTAAAAGAGGCGACCAGATGCCCTCGGAGGTGTCCCAGGCTGACGCCGCTCTTCAACAAGCAGCATCTCACAGCCCGGAGAAAAGGCAGCGGGAGAAAAGTGGGGCCGTCCAGATGTGGCGCCAATACAAGACAACAACATCCAGATATGCGCAACATCCCGACCTTCTGGGCTGGCCAGGTGCCAATTCACAGACACAAACAAACACACGCGCAAAACCCGCCTCCCCCTTAGGATCCCAGGTGGAAACCTCCGGTACCAATGAGCTACCTGGAGAATTCCGCCCCTTCCCTCCCAAAAAAACCCCTCCAAGGCCAACTTGGAGGGGGGCGAGACGGTGGGGGTGGGGGTGGGGGAGCCTGGCAGGAGCCTGGCGGGGGCGCCAGGAGAGAGGAGCCCGCAGCGCTTCGCTTCCTCGGCCCCTGCCCGGCGATTGATCAACTCCGATAGACTGCGCCTGTCCCTGGAGTCTCCACCCGCAGAGCCTCAACCTGGCTGCCTCTCTCGGGCCGGAGCCTGGGGCGGGGGGGCTCTCTCACCCACCCAGCCACCCACTCCTCTCGCCCCCTCCCACCCTCCCTGCCTCGCTCCCCACCGGCCGGGGGCTGCCTTACCGAGAAGCCGGCCCAGAAGGGGCAGGAGTGGCGGACGCGGGCCGAGGTGGTGAGCGCCAGGGCGGCGAAGCTGACGGCCACGATGAGGCAGCCCAGCGCCATCTGCGAGACGCCCAGCGCCAGCAGGATCCGGGAGCGGGCGCGGAGCTCGCGCAGGCGGGCCAGGCGGCGGGACAGGGCGGCGGGGCTGAGCGGGAGCGCGCCTCCTCCTCCCCCCAGCCCCAGCGCCCCCGCCGCCCCCGAGCCTGCATCGCGCCGCCCGGCCAGCGGCATCTTCCCCGGCTAGCAGCCGCCCCAGCCGGGCAGCCCCTCCGCCGCAGCCCCGCCGCCTCGCCTCCCCGCCGGCTCCGGCTCCGGCTCCATCGCGGCGCGTCCTCGCCGGCCGCAGCTGGCACCTCCGCGGGCAGCTGGGCTCGGCGGCTGGCTCCGCCTCCCGCCCCGCCCCGTTTCCTCCAGCCCCCCCCCCCCCGCTCCAGGCGGCGCCCCGCGGGCGCCCGGTTGCAACTGCCGGCGGCGGAGCGCAAGCAGAGCGCCTCTTGCCTTGGGGGCGGCCGCTGCAGACTCGGCCCTCGGACCCCCCCTTCCCCTTCCCCGAGAGGCCCTTCCAGCTGCGGTTTTGTTTTTCTTTTGGGGAGGGGGAGGATGAATGAGCCCTGGTGGGAGCCAGCCGGGGGGTTCGGCTGTTGGCAACTCAGGCTTGATGGGCTGAAGCAGCGGCGGCGGCAAGCGAGCCATGGGCAGACTGTCATTGTTGGTTTGTTTGCCCCCCCCCCCCGATGGAGGGAGTTGACAGGAGAGGGAGGAGGGAGGTTTGGATTGAACGAGGGTTTCCCTTCGCCTGGGGTACTTTTTGGCACCCCGGGTGGGGGAAAAGCATTCTGGATACTCGCCCCTGGGGTCTAAGCCTAACCCTTCAGCCAACAATTGGAGTCAAAAATAGTCACCTTAATTTGTCACGTTTGGGGGGGGGGGGTGAGTTAGTCAATTAATCACAATAGAGCTGGAAGGGACCTTGGAGGTCTTCTAGTCCAACCCCGTACTCAGGCAGGCGACCCTATACAATTCGAGACAATCTTTTCTTAAAATCCTCCAGTGATGAAACACAACTTCTGGTGGCAAGCTGTTCCACTGGTTAACTGTTCTCATCCTTGGGAAGTTTCTCCTTCATTCCAAGTTGCTTCTCTTCTTGATTAGTTTCCATCCATTGTTTCTTCTCCTGCCTTCAGGTGCTTTAGAGAATAGGTTGACTCCCCTTTCTTCTTTGTGGCAGCCCCTCAAATATTGGAAGACTGCTATCCTGTCCCCCCAGTCCTTCTTTTCTCTAGACTAGCCAAACTCAAATCCTGCAACTGTTCTTCATATGTTTTAGTCTCCAGGCCTTTAATCATCTTAGTTGCTCTTCTTCGCACTTTTTTTTTCAAAGTCTCAGCTCAGTTGGACATGATCTTACGACAATTTTTACTGCGGTCATTAAGCAAATCAGTCGTTAAGGGAATCCAACTTCCTCAGTGGGTGTTTCTTGCCCCAAATCAGCCAAATAATCAAGATCACATGACACCCCAACTGGTCATAAAAGCAAGCCGATTGCCAAAGCACCCAAATTTTTGATCATGTGACCGTGGGGGAAATGCCCTGATGGTTATGGGGTCTAAAGACCAGTCATTTTTTTCCTAGCCCCCTTGTAACTTCGGTTATGGTTGGTCGCTAAAGGAACGGTTATACTTCGAGGACTAGCAATACGCGAATTCCATATTTGCCAGGAAGTCATCTTCATCGCTGGAGCACAACACGCTTCGTCACGGAAAGATTTTCCACCTCGAGCCTGCAAATGAACAGCGAGAAGATGCAACAGGAAAAGTTATCTTACTCAAATAAAATCAATACACCTTCATTGCCTTCCTTCCTTCAGTAACTTAATCAACGGGAGAGCCGGTGTGTGTGTGTGTGTGTGTGTGTGTGGCAGCCGAAGGCCTCTGTCAACACAAAAAGAGGGCTGAAATAATTTACAGTCCCAAAGATGCCGGAGTTTTCCCTTGTTTTACATCCCGAGGATAAACGGCCTCTTTGACTTATTACCAATATTGAAATGAGATATTTCGGTCTAGCTGGGGTCTCCGTGGATGCCATTAGCTGGAATCAGCCCTACACGATCTGCTTTTTACCCTTAATGGAACTCCAGAAAGCCCAGGCCTCCAGGTACCGAGTGAGGGATAAGCATTCAAGGGCAACATAGATAAATCACCGCATACAGGTAGCACTCCACTTGCGACCGCAATTGAGCCCAGAATTTATGTTGCTAAGTGAGAAAAGTCACCCAGATGGCTTTCATGCCTATGGCGGGACTAGAACTCACAGTTTCCTGGTGATTGGCCCAAAGTCACCTGGTCGGTTTTCATGCCCAAGGTGGGACTAGAACTCACAGCTTCCTGGTTTCTAGCCTGGCACTTCCTCCACTAGATGAAACCAGCTCCAATTCCTTTTTCATAATCATCTGATATAATCACTTCCTGATTCCTCTCAGGGACTCCAGTGCAAATTAACACGGTCACTAATGCTATCGGTTCAAAGTGTGATCACCTGCATGGTTTTGTGCAAGTCCAAAATTTGCACATGGCGGGGGCATCTCTCTTGCAGGAGCTGCATAGATTGCCAATTTGCTTCCAGTCTCCTTAAAGGTGCTGGTTACCTCCTTTGGAGGTTCTACCTGGCTTTAAATTCTGTAATTAAGGACTGTAATTTCCCAGTTACATCTCTAACAGCCACCAGAGCAGGAGGAGAGGGTGGGGTATGTTAAGACTCCCCTCTTTTGAGGAGGTCCATCTGGTGGAACCAAGAAGAACAGACTTCTCCTTGGTGTCTCCCTCCCTGAGGAATATCATCCCTATGGAGACAAAATCGGCCCTTCATCTTTATACTCTTTCCAAAAATCCCTAAAGATGCGGTTTTGCTTCTCCTTATTTGTACCAGTAGAAGAGAACTGTGAACTGCAGGGTCCTTGGTGCTCTCTGAGCTTGGTGGATTTCTTGCAGATGTTTCAGGACCCAACTAGATAACATCATCAGTGCTGGAAGGGAGTGGGATTTGCAGAGAGGAGGAGGAGGAGGAATGTGGGGTCCTTGGTGCTCTCTGAGCTTGGTGGATTTCTTGCAGATGTTTCGGGACCCATCTAGATAACATCATCAGTGCTGGAAGGGAGAAGGGCTTGTTGTCGATTTACATACAAGTGCCTTGCCTTGTCAGCATTGATGGGAGAGTGCTTTTCTTCCTGCTGGTTCCTTAATCAGACTGTTGTTGACTGATGGAGTGTCTGCGTATTTCCGTAGCTGTGTCCCACAAAGCATCGCCTGACTATTGCCTGCTTGCCGTGTCCTGACCGATTCCCAAACTGCTTCCAAAAAAACCCTGCCAGGATGGGGCTGGCTTTGAAAACCAAATGCCATGGAGCTGACGTCATGTCATCACTGCACAGAAAAGCCACGCTTCAAGGTTGTGCGTTCCTCTCCCAACTGCAGTCAAAACCTGACAGCCGTTGTCTATCAATAATAATTTTAAAAAAACAGCCATTATTGAAAGTCATCCCTTCTGAGGAGGCGGCCTTGAATTAAATCTCTCAATGACGTCGAAACAAAGGTTCTAGTTTTGGATTCAGAAGGGGGGGGGAAGGGGGAATCTAAAAATGTCCTTTTTTTATAATTAACTTCTCCTTTCAAGTTACTGAAGCCAAGGGTGAATCTACACTGTTGAGGCTAAAACATACGAAGACCAGTTACAGGAATTGGGTATGTCTAGTCTAGAGAAAAGAAGGAATAGGGGTGGCATGACAGCAGTCTTCCAATTTGGTCACCACGATGTGAAAAAGATGTGGAGACTCTAGAAAGAATGCAGAGAAGAGCAACCAAGATGATTAGGAGACTCGAGGCTAAAACATATGAAGAACGGTTGCAGGAACTGGGTATGTCTAGCTTAATGAAGAGAAGGACTAGGGGAGACATGATAGCAAGTCTTCCAATATCTCAGGGGCTGCCCCAAAGAAGAGGGAGTCAAACTATTCTCCAAAGCACCTGAAGGCAGAACAAGAAGCAACGGGTGGAAACTAATCAAGGAGAAAAGCAACTTAGAACTAAGGAGAAATTTCCTGACAGTTAAAAAAATTAATCAGTGGAAAAGCTTGCCTCCAGAAGTTGTGAATGCTCCAACACTGGAAGTTTTTAAGAAGAGACTGGAAACTATATCATTTGCCTGAAATGGTGTAGGGTTTCCTGCCTTGAGCAGGGGGTTGGACTAGAAGACCTCCAGGGTCCCTTCCAACTCTATTATTCTATGTTCTAGGACTCGGTTCCCCAAAGCATTAGAACATAGCTTGCACTTTTCCACACTCACCTCCGTGAGGAATTCAAGGGCGTGTGAGCAATCATTCCCCCATCCTGATTTTCACAACAGCCTTGCGACACAGAAGTCAAACTTCCCTGTGCCCTGAAAGACACTTTTAGTGAAAATTGTACCAAAGGAACATTCAAGATCAGATGTCTGGATGCAGAACAGGATGTTTCCATGGCTTACGCACATCACTCTTTTAATTCAAATAATTGGCTCAAAAAAACAAAACAAAACCAAAACACAAAACTAAAGGAATGGCTAAACACTCTCAGCTTGGAAAGATGACAGATTGGGGTTTTTTTCTTTCTCGCTGCCTCCCCCCCCCCTTCTTCCAGGATTGCATCAGGTCAATTTTGTTCGTCCTGCTTTTGGGACACTAAATGATTTTATCTTCTGTAAATGCTGAGATAGCAAAGTTAGGGAGGAGACGAGGGGCAGAGGGACCACATTAGTGACAAAGCTTCTATCTTATGAAGCTTTGGAATTTCGAGGCAGACAGAAGGATGTCTGTAAATCAGCCAGCCGTTACTTAATTAAGAGTCTGTTTTTTAATGGTCTGTTTGGAGACAGAGAAAATAATGGCACTGGGAAAGGAGAGGGGGGGAGGAGAGAAGCAAGGCTTCTATTTTGTCCCATAAAGACAATAAATGTATCTCCCACCCACCCACCTACCCATCTCTTAGGTTGCACTCTGAGGCTTGCTGAAGAAATCTGATTGAGCGTTTATCCTGTTCCTGCAATTAATGGGGTCCCAAAAGCATCTTTTCCTCCAAAGGTGCCTTCCAGGTGTGTCAGTCTAGGAACACAGGTAGAGAATGCTGGATGGGGGAGCTTATGCACCAGGAAGGCCTGTTTACAGAGCCAGCCTGGGCCACCAGTCAGACAGGTTGACTTCCCTTAAGCCAGAGGTGAGAAATGATGGCCCCTCTATGACTTCTGTGGCCTTCCAGAATTTCTGAGCCAGCATGGCCAGTTCAGGAATTCTGGGAGTTGAATCCCACCAGTCATAAAAAGGCCATCATTCCCCACCCCTGCCTTTGAACGCTTCTCAATCTTGGCAACTTTGCGATGGATGGACTTCAACTCCCAGCATCCTTCAGCCACCTCACACCTTTAATAAATGCATCCGATGAAGTGAGCTGTGGCTTCCGAAAGGTTTCACCTTTCCAAAAATAAAAAATAAAAAAATTGCATCCAATGACATGAACTGCAATTCATACATATTTATGCCTTTCAATAATAAAAAAAATTGCATCCGATGAAGTGAGCTGTGCTTCCCGAAAGCTTAACCCTTTTGGTAAAATGTGCATTGGAGGAAGTTTGGGGAAACTTTGGCCCTTGGTTAGTCTGAAAAGAGGCTCCCAAACCCCTCCTGCTTTTCGCTAACCCGCAGGCTACCCCAGCTCTGCTTCTCCAGCCCAGCATCCCTGCCCAACCTGGACGGAAGGCAATGAAAGAGCCTCTTTGAGAAACTGTCGGATTTAAAAACCTCCCCAGGCTGGGAGAAACGGCAGGCAGGGGGGAAAAAATGGCACAAAACCTCTTTTAACCTTGAACTGACCTTGCAGGAAAATTGCTGCATCTTCTTCCCCCATTCAACCCCTCCTGGCTTTCGGTTTAAGCAGGGAAGCCTGATTTTCTTCAGGCAGGAATAATCATCATCATCATCATCATAAAAAAAGGACAGACACTGCAGAATTGCAGCCTTGTATGAATGAAAATTTTTTTTAAAAAAGGAGGGTGGGAGGGCGAGTGAGTTTGCAGAGCGCAAAGATGCATGGAGAGCACTCGGTTACACACCTCCGGTTTTCTGTGCCAGATGTGGAAGTGTTCCCAAAAGGTAGCTTTGGTTTGTGTTTTCTCTTTCTAGAAAAATCTAGAATTCTCGGAGCTTTCTCTATTTTGGGGTGTGTGTGTGTCTTGTGTATTTTTAAAAAATTGTTTTATTGTATTATAAGATGCAAGTAATGTAAGATTTGGGGACAATGGTGTTAATACAGTATCTACTATGATAACCGAGATCGTTTACAGCCTTTAAATATAACTGGGGGTAGAGGGGGAAAACTGTAAATATTAACTATGATTCCTTGACATGTTATTGTGGATGGCCACCAGGTTGTTTCAATTGTACATTTGGAGCCTAATAGATTTTTCTCTGGAGAAGGAGAAGACTGCCATGCAGAAATCTCGAGGTTTTCTTTTTTTTTCTTTTAAAAGCATTTTATTCTATTTATGATACAAGCAACAGATGATGTCAGTGGGGACGGGGGTATTTATACAGTATTCATAGAGGGGGGATTTTTATTTTTATGAATTTTATTAAAGTTTTTTTTAAGGGGGATTTTTAATTGTTATAAAAGCTTTCAAAATTAAGGCGAAGGCTTTCGATGAATTAGGATTTCTGATGTGTTTGTTTTTGATAAGCGTCAGGTTGCTTCAATTGTGCATTTAGAGCCCGAATTTATTATTTTTTTCTCTAGAAAGAAGAAGGTAGCCATGCAAAATTCTCTTGGGACAGTCTCCGTTTTTGGGGAGGGGGCTTGGATGGCCTGAAGTCTTCTGCAGGATGCAAGGTGGGGTCTCCTGACGTCTTGGAACTGAAGCTCCTGGCCGAGAATTTTGGAAGCTCTTGAAGGATATCTACAGTTGGCCAACTTGATCCAGCTCACACTTGCCTTGACTACTAGCAACACCAAGGCCAGCAGCTCTGAAGAAGAGGAAGGTCTTCTCTATTGTGGCCTCTGGAGACTCAAGGCTACCCCGAAAGACTGCATGGGCCCCTCAGATGCCTGTTTGCTCCCCCACCTCAAAATGGTTAAGGAATATTTTCTCCTCCCCACTCCCAATCTCTATCCTCCTGAACTCAGCCATCCCTTGCAAGGAAGATGCTTCAGAGAAACTCTGAAGTGAATCAAAACGGTTGGTGGGAGGAAGCAGACAGATGGGAAGCAAAGAGGGTCATCAATCAATTCTGAAAAATGAAGGTTGGGGGAGGAAGAAAATGCCGTTTTCCCCAATTAGAACTGCATTTGGTACTTCTCATATAAAATTAATCACTGGTAATGCACCCAGAAGCCTTTAGGGCAGTGGCAGAATCTCTCATTGGGAGAAATAAGCGGTGTGGACGCAACTGATGGTTTCCTACCACCCCCTGGTGGTTCTTAGCAGCAGTTGAGTGTGCAAGGAAATCTGTGTGAGTGTGGCAGGCTGGGACAACATCTCAGGGGGGATGTTTCTGCTTAGCTCAAATGGATGAGAATGGTCTTCTTGCTTGTCCAGGTTCAGGGGAGGAGAACAAGAAGTACCAGAAGATGCGAGGTGGGATATGGAAGTGAAGGAGAAAACTTTGGTGGGCTCCAACTGCAACGAAGTCCAGGACACTGATGAAACTTTGCTCCAAGTTGAAGTTTTGGTCCAGCAGCCTGGAGGTCTCCAAGAATGATGGCAGGGGTCTTTCCCTAGGAGGTTTAGAATCTGGAGCCTTTGGGACACAAGAGTTCTCCTGCCTGAACTACGGGCCTTCCTCTTCCTCCCCAACCTTGGGTAAGGTTCAAGCAGATTGTCTTCTTCTCTTTATCCAGGAGAAGAATCCTCCTCCTCATGCAGGGACTGAGAAAGTTCTCTATGCTTTGGGTGAGGGCCGTTCTCGGTGCCTTTAGGTGGATCCCATATGCATCTTTCCTCCATCTAAGGCTGGTCATGGCCCTTGTTTTTATTCCTTCTCATTCAAGGAGGCTACATTAAGTTCTGATGGAGGGCAAGCTTGTTGCTGACCAAGGAACAAAATTAAGTCCATGTGGGCAATCATCTTCTCCTGCAGCACAAATAATTACAAATCTACTTGATTCCCGCAGTTAGCATGGCATCAAAAGGCATGTGGTTGACTGATGGGTTCTTCTCGGTTTTCTTGGTTTCCCAGGCTAGTCTATGATCCTGGGATTTTCTCTCATCCAAACACCGACCAAGTCCGACCCTGCTTAGCTTGAGAACCAAGTTTAAGTCCCTGTGGACAGTCCATACTCCAGTTCTAAACCAGTCCATTTTTTGGGCAAAATCCCCAGATGGGATCGCGATGGGGATTATTAAGGCAGGAGAAACCATGATGGAAGCTTCCACCACACCCCACCTGGGAAGCAGAAACCCACCTCCATCTCCTGTTGAACGGAGTAGCCTTCTTCCCTCCCCAACACAGATGCTGCTGGGGGGAACCTCTGCTGTGAGGTTGCCTAGAGACCACAACAGTGAGATGGGTTGGAAAAGGTCAGGCACATTGATATTATGGGTGTCGGACGGAGACAAACAAAGCAACAACAGAAAAGCCACAATGAAAAGCTACTATGGTTATTTGGATCCCGACTTGTAGGCCACACTGGTCGACGAGCAACAACAGAGCAGAGGGGGTGGGGAACCAGCCATTACAAACAGATTGACCTCCTTACTCCACAGATGTTGACCTTATGCAAGTAAAGCCAGATGTTGTCATCTCACAGCAGGGCCCCTCAGCCCTTCCTGAGATGCCAGCAGGACACAAAGAAGACCCTCCCCACCCCAAAGACTCCTTAAGACCTTTAACCTCAAAACTGGAGAGCAAAGGCAGATGGTTATAGTCCTTAAAATCGATGGAGCTGCAATGCATGATTTTTTTTTTTCTCACTTACCTAATAATGCTCTTTTGGGAGGGACCTGGAAAAAAAAAACACACACACAGAAACACAAGCCACTCCACCAAGCCCAAAGTAGAAACCTGAAGAATTAGACATAAGATGGCTCACAAACTTGAGTTACATCCGGGTTTGTTTGTTTTTTCAATCGGATCGTGCTAAGGAGAACTTTTGAAGAAGAAGAAGAAAAAAAAAGGAAAATATATCCTGACAGTTTGAGAAGCAGTTTTGCAACCTGAGGAATCATCGCAGGACTTCTGGCAGCTCCGTCTGGAGGCGAAGGCAACGGGGTTTTGAAGGAAAAGGAGGAAAGGTTATGGAATCAGGGCATCCCTGGACATGCATGTCAGACAGAAACAAGGAGATGCGGGAATCTTCTATTTTAAAAACAGTTTTTATTCTGCATATTTAGAAATGTGTAATTTTTAATAACGGCAAAGAAAAAAAAAATCAGCCACACCTGAATAGCTAAAGAACCGATTAACAGAATGCAGTGGTATATTATCTAAACAGAAAGAGTGTGGATGTGCCATAATAAATTGTCTATTAGTAAAAAAATACATTTCAGGGCACATGGTACAGTATCCGTTATCACAAAATTACAGTAGGGATACTTTTCTTTTCGTTTTCTTTTCCCCAAGAAGATAATCAAACTAGAGAATTCCAAGTTAGTCTTTAAATGCAGCACTTTAAAAAGGTAACAACTTTGTGCATTTTCAGTTTTTTGTTTGTTTATATATTTATATTTATATATATATATATGTATATATATATATATATATATATAAGTATATATATATATATATTTATATTTTAAAAAAGTCCTTGTTCTCGTGTACGGTAGAAATGCTGCGTTATTGCTGCCAGATTTCAAAGTTCAAGGCTCAAAAGGTCTGAGAATACAAAGATATTAAGAAACTTCCATTTTGTATTATATATATATATATCTATATATATATAATACATATCCTCGTATATATTATATATATATAAAAAAGGTAAAGCTTATAAAAGTTAATTTACAAACCAAGAACAAAAGTGGTACGCACAAGTTTTTATATACAAGCAATCTAGAACATCTATAAATTTTTTCCCCCAAAATGCACAGCAGAAAACAAAATGAAAATTAATATATATAAAAAAAGAAATGAAAGAAAAAAAGAAAAAGAAAAAAAAGAAAAGAAAAATATTACCATCGTTATGTTCCTTCAGAATTCCCCTCTGCTTGAACAATGCAAAACCCCAGGATTTCACTTACTCTCTTTCGGTCTCCCAGTGAACGTGGTCACACAACCCTCAAACCACCCATTGCTCTCCCCACCCCACCCCCGAGTGGTAATTTCTCTGGCCAGTACGGAAGCCCTACCAATGTAGTAGTGGTAGTAGTAGTAGTAGTACGGTGAGCTACGATGACGATGGAAACTACGTTAAAAGCAGGAGGATAAGGCAACACCGCTAGATATGTCTGTCACAGATGTGGTGAATTTAGAGAGGCACATAAACCACAGTCCAACCCCGTGCATTTTCTCTTTTCTCGGTAACAAAGGGGAGCCGTGGGAAAGAGTGGGTTTTTCACACAAACAGGTGAACTAACAGGTAAACTAATCCTGGGCAAGAGAAGGACCAATTTCCCACTTATTGTGCTAGCAAAATCTTTTTGTTGTTGTTGTTGTCCTCCAAAGGGATGGGCAAAAACACAGAGGGGGAAAAAAAGAAACCCCCTCTCAGGTTGCTGGGTTTTTTCCCCCCTTTCCCAAAAAACGAAAACAAAGGAATGATGTCATCTTTGCATATTCTAAGGATGCTTTGAGGTGTCCGGTGTTTAAATTAAGAAGAAAAAAAAAAAAGAAAAAAAAAGAAAAGGAAGTGAAAACTTTTAACAAGACCAAATAAATGGAACAACAATAGTTAAAAAAAAACAAAAAAAACTCCTAATTCAACAGTGAGTTATGAACTTCTGGGGGGGGGGGAAGGGGGGAAAGAGAAATACTAAATTGCATTGCTTCAGTGGTAGTTTAAGGTTTTAAGCTACGATGCGTTAAAAGTGTCCCGTTTTAAGGAAGGTGAGAGGCTCGGCCGCCAGGACGTGGCGTGGCCCCTGCTGACCGGTTTAGTTGCTGCGAACGCGTGTACCCTGATCACTGTTCAAGAACGCTCTGACTAGCTGCTGTTAGTCAAACCACAGATTGCTTAATACTAGGAGAACGGTTAATACTTGAAAAGAGTGGTTCAGTTTCTATGCAGGTGGTGGTTGGTTGGTTGGTTTGTTTTTTGTTTGTTTTGTTTTTGGTCTGATTTTCTTTTTTTTAAAAAAAAAAATCTTGGTTTTCGCACTCAGATCCACTCACTAAGGTAAGGGTTAGAAGTGATCTATTAGAACTGACACACAATTGGCTCCAACAAGATAATTTGGATCTCCGGGAAGAGACTTGTTCTGCCAAGTTTTGGGGTCACCTGTGGGAGGAAAACAACGTAGTAGTTTAGTATCCATCATCAACAGGGGAACATCTTGGATAACAGTACCGTTAAAAGATAACAAGAATGTAAAAATCGGCTCCCGGTTCAGGGAGGAACAGGCAAACACGGGACAAGGGCTTGGTTTTCAAATTGCTATCCTGCTCTCAGCCACCTTGGGAATACTTCAAGGATCGATAGAAGAGAGGTTTGGTAGCTCAGGTTGAAGTGTGGGGTCCTCTGGGAGCGTGGTTGTTTTCTTGCAGATATCACCCAACATTAGTTGGGTAATGAAATGTCTGCGAGAAAACAGCCAAGTTCAAAGAGTGCTAAGGACCCCACGCTTCAAGGAATTCCTGCCTATGGGACACTTCTCCAGTGTGGGTTACCTCCTGACCTTCAACTTTCTAGAGTGGTGTTTTTCAACCTTGGCCCTTAGTAGATGTGTGGACTTCAACTCCCAGAATTCTCCAGTCACCGTTTAAGTCTTCAGGTTGGCCAAGGTGGAGAAGTCTAAATCATCAGATCTTGCCGTGAGATCCAGCAACCCGACATGCAGAAATTCAAGCAGGGGCTGGGATGCTCTCCATGGAATCTAACTTCAACTCAGCTTCAAATTATTAAGGTGGTCACAGTGAGTATTCCTCCCCAGGGTATGAATGGTGGGCAATTTTGGAGAGGCTCTGAGGCTTCGGATGGCCGCCTGAAGCCCTGGAGAACCAAGTGAGGCCAGCTGAAGATCAGGTCAACCTAATGCAGGGGTCTCCAATCTTGGCAACTTTAAGACTTCTGGACTTCAGCTCCCACAACTCCTCAGCCAGCAAAGGAATTCTGGGAGTTGAAGTCCACAAGTCTTAAAGTTGCCAAGATTGGAGACCCCTGACCTAATGCAACAATTCTCAACAGGCAAAGTGGACGAGGAAGTTTGAGAGAAGGAATGGATCCTAAGGGTCCGTACCTGCCTTGTAGGAGAAGACTTTTTCTCCTAGAGGGAGGGGGCCATGTAGACCTCTCAAAGGCATTTGTGGGGTGCTCTGATACAACTCTCCTTCAGGACTGACAGTCCAACTCTGTATCGGTTTCTCACCACCTGTGCTAATTTTTGCTTGCTCGCTTTGCTCAAAACGAATCCACCAGGACAACAGATGGAAACTCAACCTCTTGAACTTCCGCTCCAAAGGGCAAAACAGTGAACGGTTTAAAGAAGGGGGCCACGCAAACCAACTTTCCCCCATGACTTTTTAGCATCTGTCTCTATGAACCATAATAGCTGTGGCTGCTAAGAATTGCGATTGAGGATCACCGTTTTGTTACCTCTTTTCCACACCACTGTTTCCTCTAGCTATAATAGAGTCCCATCACAGAGCCCTACGCTCTTAATGGATGCCGTGTTGATTTTTAGATCTAATGTAGCTCTTGAAATACAAGCCGAGTTATGATGGCACCTTGGTTTCTAAGCCATGTTGACCCTCACTTTCTAGGCCAACTTGCAATCTTTCTGCAAACGTACGGAAATCAGATGGTTTAGAACAGAGGACTTCAAACTTGGCAGCTTTAAGACTTGTCGACTTCAACTCCCAGAATTCTCCAGCCAGCTGGGAGTTGAACTCCACAAGTCTTAAAGCTGCCAAGTTTGGGGACCCCTGGTTTAGAACAAAGCTAAGATTTACTTCTAGCGTGTGATACCCAAGGCAACCTAACAGGTTAAGTTACTATCTCCTTATGTTGGATTAATAACTTAACAATAGCTCTAACGACTTAAATACCGCTTCACGGTGCTTTACAGCCCTCTCTAAGTGGTTAACAGAGTCAGCATATTACCCCCCAAAATCTGGGTCCTCGTTTTACCGACCTCGGCAGGATGGAAGGCTGAGTCAACCTTGAACCCATCAGGATCGAACTGTTGGCAGTGGGCAGAGTTAGCCTGCACTACTGCATTCTAACCACTGCACTCCCACAGGGATTAAGATGCAACCAAAGTTAGCCCGATTTCTTTCTACTTGTTTCTTCCAGCTACTCTGTTTTGGAGAAATCCCAATTATCTACCGTTTAATTTAACCTCCGTATTGATTTCCACTACGTGCGCCCTTATCTTTGACGAACGGGCAATCCCTGAAACTCTTGGGAATTTCACAATCAGACCCTCAGAACAACACAATTATGTTGTGTAGGCAAACAAACCTACACAGTTCTTGTGTGAGGAATGCACAGAAACAACCAGAGATCCACACTACGACCAAGGTGCTGGTGTTAATAGCGACACATAGAAAGGGAAACCCTTGGATTACGACCTCCTTGGAATTGCAAAAGCCACCCCACATTTAGGAGGGTCCGAAAAAAATGCTCCCAATTCTTAAAAAAGGGCAAATGGTAGGTTAATTCCGCGCTCCCCAAATAGTTTGTTTTTTCAGTTTTTCTTTAAAAAAATAGAATACTACATTTTAAAGTCGAAGGTCTATCTTAACACCGAGTAGACATTCAGAAACCTTAGCTAGATCACCCAACTGCTGGTTGAGAAACCAACGTGGAAGGTCAACTTTTGAAAGCTGAGGTCCACCAGAGTGTTAGGACTACAAAGCTCCAACTTCCAGGGTCAACAGAGGAGAGGAAGCTGGTGGAGACTTGGTAGGCGAGGAATCGGGTATTCAGAGATCCCCCTTTTTCTTTTTAACGTGGAAGGAAACGGCAGCGTGGACATGGGAGATTCATGGTTAGTTCAGGAAAAAGCCCTCTGAGAACTGCTTGGTCCCTGGCATTCATTCAAGGATTCAGGGTGCTATATAGGTCAGGGGTCTCCAAGCTTGGCAACTTTAAGACTTGTGGACTTCAACTCCCAGAGTTCCTCAGCCAGCAAAGCTTTAGGAGAGCTGATAAGCAAGAGGTTAGCCAGCAAAACATGACTTCATGTCTTCATGTTGGAGACCCCTGGCTGGCTGAGGAACTCTGGGAGTTGAGGTCCACAAGTCTTAAAGTTGCCAAGGTTTGGAGACCCCTGATATAGGTCTTTTAAAGTGAGGTGTGAAGTTGCCCCCTTGTGCTTCATGAGATGAGATGAAAACCAAAAAAAGGACAATATAATTGGAAGGATAATGTGGCCAGCACATTTTGAACATTTTTTTTTTTTTGTAAACATGATGTGTTGCGACAGGTTAGTATGCGTCATAAAATGTTCATTTCGAGACAGAGAAAGAGCATGGAAAACATGTTAGGAGAAGCTCAGGAGAAAGAGACAGCGAGAAAGAGATCCCGGAATCAATTAAGAGAAAGTAGTTTCTTTTTTTTCTTTTTTTTCGTTGCTTGATTGGTTTAGAAAAAAAAAGAAAAGAAAAAGAAAACATATTTATTTAAAACATTGTATGGCTTTACACATCAGAAGACAAAGAGTTGGCCAGTGGTGAAAATTGTCCCGTGGAGCAACGCAACAGCACACTGAATGAAGGTTAAGCTGCAAAGATGCCCGAGTACAGAGAGGAAAAGGCAAATGCTTTTAACACCGAAACCCTCACACACCACAGCAGCACCCAGCAAAGACCCCAAACGCAGAAGCACAGGAGAGGGGGAGGGAGGGGAGAGGGAGGGGGAGAACGTGGCGGGGCCACCATAAAACCCTCTTTTCCTTCTTTGCAAGTTAGTTCGTCACAAAATAAGAGAGGTTGAAAAGCAGGGTCTGAAGGCGTCCTGGGAGTTAACACGAAAGGGGGAGAAGTTTGGAGCCTCGTGATTGCAAGAGGTCCGTTTTTCTAAGGCTTCCCAATTTTGAGGGGAGGGGGGGAGAGAGGGGTGTCGACACCCAGCAGCATGCAAAGGAAGCCCTGAATTCCAGTAAAATGCACCCAGTTACGGATAATAGCTACGTAACTGGATCTCCTCATAAATTACCCAGTGCTGCTTTCGGTTCCCCCTCCATCAACACACACTGGCATCGAAAATGGTAAGATACATGAGTGAACAAGTAGGAATACATTTTTAAATACTGCACACATAAATACATTGCTTCTATATATACCATATGCAGATATGTATACATTGAAGGATGCCAAATATCTTACGGTTACGTGGCTGGAAATACCCTCTTTTCCAAAAACTGTTTTAAAGTTATTTTTTCGTCCGTAACAGCCTTGCTGTTCCTTCTCAAGGTTCTTAGTTTGCAGTCCCCACCATAAAGTTGCTTAAAATTTACACCAGGACTTCTGTGCTCCAAAAACACATTGGACCTCAAGCTAACGAGACGTCCCTTCTTCAGGTGGGGTGGGTGGGTGGGTGGGCTTTCGTTCTTACTACTTTAGGGGAGCCCGGGCGAATCCCCTAACCTGCAGTCAGATTCCTCCTAACTTAAAATGCCTTGCAAAGCATTCGTCTCTCCGTAACATCTCCGAATTTAGAAGGAAGCATGAATACAGGTAGTCCTCAACTTACAACAGTTCACTTAGTGACCGCTCAAGGTTACGACGGACACGGAAAAAATCTGATTTATGACCGTTTTTCACACTTACAACCGCTGCAGCATCCCCAGGGTCGCACGATCAAAATTGGCAACTGGCTTGTAGTTGTGACGGTCGCAGTGTCCCAGTGTGTGTGTGTGTCACTGATCCCCTTTTGCGACCTTCAAAATCGACGGGGAAGCCAGATTCACTTAACAACCTAACTTAATAGCTGCAACGATTTGCTTCAAAATTGTGGCAAGGAAGGTCGTAAAATGGGGAAAAACTCACTCATTTTGGGTTCAATTGTGGTCGTAGGTTGAAGACTACCTGTTCATATTGGGGTGGGGGATTGAAAGCAAGGACTTCATTTTTTTATTTTTATTTTTTGGGTACAAGGGGGCCTTTTCTTTAACTGCCAAATTCACCTGTTCCATTAGAAACCCTGTGCTGATGTTCACTGCCTTGGCGTTCAGCAGATCGAGCGTGTCATTGGACGGAGACACAAGTTCGGACACAACCGACCAAAAACCAGAAAAGAAAAGGGAGCGGATTTCTCGTCTATTCGTATCGGTTGCTCGTCTGGAAGGGTTTGGCAGCTGTGCCAGTCTCGCCAGAAAGGGAGAGAGAGAGAGAGAGAAGGAGGGAGGGAGGAAATGGCGCAAGGCAAGACAGCGGATAGATAATTGCATCGTTAAACCGGACCGTGAAAACGTCCTGGATTATCTACCGTGTCGGTTTTGATTGACTCATCACGATTTGGTGCAAATGGTTGATTTTTTTTTTTTTTTTTGGCATCGTGAGGAAGGGTGAGGAAGACACTGGCAATGACACATGAAATGGAGAGCGGAGACGAAAAGACAAGAGAGATATAGTCCCATCTCAAGATTCCACAGTGGGGGGCCCACCTGGGACAGGTGAGCTTAAATTATTCGATAGCACCCATAAGCCCCCAAAGGACAGAGGGAGGACAGCATACCCGACGACGAGTCGGAGGATTTTAGAGCAAAAGACCAACCATCAGGAGTCATAGACGCACAGTGTGGCAAACGCAGCTCGACAGGCTTCAGGAATTTCAGTCCGTGCGGCCCACACATGACCAGGGGGCTCAGGAGCGTCTCGCCTGCGGAGGAGGACAGAAAAAAAAGGAGAAGGCGTTAGGAGGGACTTCGCACGCCTTCCGACAGGCCCACCTGAGCCACGGACGCACCTGCTCTCACCTGAGCCATAGAACGTCTGGAGATACGCCAGTGGTGAAATCCAATTTTTTTTTACTACCGGTTCTGTGGGCGTGGCTTGGTGGGCATGGCAGGGGAAGGATACTGCAAAATCTCCATTCCCACCCCATTCTGGGGCCAGCCAAACGTGGTATTTGCTGGTTCTCCGAACTACTCCAAATTTCCGCTACTGGTTCTCTAGAACCTGTCAGAACCTGCTGGATTTCACCCCTGATATACGCGAAGCGGCTGGCTTGAAGGAGACGGGAAGACAGGGAGGGATGGTCTCTCGTTTAAAGGGACAACCTGGGAAAAATGGTGCTCTGGAAGCTTCAGGGGGCTCCTTGGGGCTCTCTGAGCTTGGCTGTTTTCTTGCAGACGTTTCATGGCCCAACTAGGTAACATTATCAGTGCTAGAAGGGACAGGAGGAGGAGGGGGACTGTGGAATTCTTGATGTTCCCCGAGATTGATTGTTTTCTTGCAAACATTTCATGACCCAATGAAGTAATATCATCAGTACTAGTAGGGAGTGGAGGAAGGGGAGGGGGAGGAGGATTGTGGGTTCCTGAGTACTCTCTGAGCTCGGTTGTTTTCTTGCAAGACATTTCATGACCCAACTAGGTAACAAATTCATCAGTGCTAGAAAGGAGCGGGGTTACTTTCTGCTTATGCTAGCTTATACTTCTTCAGTTCTAACTAAATGGTGGAGAATGGAAGGATTTATATTCTTTGCGGCCATCAGAGTGCTAATGACCTGCAAGGAATATAAATCCTTCCGTTCCCCAGCATTCAGTTAGAACCGAAGAAGCTTCTTGGATGAGAAGCGAAACGTCTTCAAGGAAAGAAAACGCAAGGAAGTCCAGCTGCCTTTTGGAAAAGCACCTTTGGGGCAGGTAAGGGATGAAAGCTTAGGGGGAACGTTGTCCTCTTACCTTTCTCTTTGTCTAGAGGCGGAAGGATACTATTATCCCGGCAGACCTTAAAATAGATCTCCTGTTCGATTCCCTCCGGGATGGCCCCTTGCGGGATAATTATGCTGACGCCAGTCTCGATGGAGCTGAGGACACCCCCGTTGCTGTTAAAAACGCCCCTGGCGGTGGCGATGACCGTGTGGCCTTCCTCTTCCTCATCATCGTCCAAAGCAGAAGGACTGAAGAGAGAGAGAGAGAGACGGATTTGGTGATTTGCTTGCAGGCGTTTTATTACCCAACTAAGTACTGTATTTTTCGGACTATAAGACGCACCTACCTTTTTTGATGAGGAAAAGAAGAAAAAGAAATCTGCCTCTGCCTCCCAGCAATTTTGCCTCGTTGCAGCAAACAGTCTGCTTTACTTTCATTTTCGTTTTCAGCATAGCTTGATTGGCACGAGGAAAAAAAAAATCTGCTCCCAGCAATTTACCTCCTTGCAGCAAGCAGCAGAGCCCTGCGCAAAATAGCTGAGAGCAAAACAGCTGAGAATCGGGAGGCCGATCCAATCACCTTGTGCTAATTAGGCTGTGCTGAAGCTGAAAGGAGCTGTTTCTTCTTGCTGTTTGCTGCAAAGAGATAACTGCTGGGAGGCAGAGGCCAAAGGGTGGGGGCCAGTGGGTGGGCGGGGCTACATTCGGTGTATAAGACGCACCTAAATTTTCACCCCCTTTTAAGGGGAAAAAGGTGTGTCTTATACTCCAAAAAATACGGTAACTTCATCCGTGTGAGGGAGTGTGGGGCTGGCTGCCCTCCACTTGTGATCACAACTGAGATCTGAATTTCTGTTGCTGATCGAGGCCATTGCTAAACCAGTCATGCCCAATTTTACAATATTTCTCGTACAATTATCAAGCAATTTAAAAAAAAAAAGACTTTTAATGACTCCGTGATCCCTTGCATCGGAGTCACTTTGGGGCAAAGGAGTGGAGCTGAGTGTTTACTGGCCGGATGCCCTTCCTGTTGCCGGTGCAGAGTTCGCAACTGATATTTTACTCATTGTGCCCGGAGAGAGAAATATCTGCCTTTACCTAGGATCGAACTCACAACCTCCTGATTGTGAGGCGAGAGCTCCACCTCTAGGCCACCGCACCACTTCAATTATCACTACAGTTATGGAGCGAATCACATTGTCATTCAGTGAATCCGGCTTCCTCCACTGATTGGTCGGAAGCTGTCTGGGAAAGTCCCAAATGGCGACCAGACGACTGGCGTAAAAACGCAGTCCTACATCCTCCGAGGGAATCACCTTACCTGACGGGGATGGCCTTCGGCACAGCGCTGATGTTATTTGGTTGGTACTTGAGTTTGTCCCCTTGGCCGGAGAAGCTCTCCAGGTTGCTCTCGAACTCGGGCTGAGCGGAGCCGTGTGCTTTCAGAAGGGGCTGGGGAGAATGTTGAGGCTTGGCTGAAGGTATCTCGGAGGGCTTCGGAAGGGTCTCCTCCGGCAAGAGGTTGTGGTTGAACTTGGGGCTCTCGAACTTGCGTTCGAAGGGCCGGGCCGCGCTGGTGTAGGGTTTGGAGGAGGTGGTGAAGCGGTTGTAGGCCGGGGTGGTGGTTTTGGGGAGCTGTTCCATCCCGTTGATGGGTCCTTTGTCGGGGAAGCTCTTCTGAGGGTAATAAGTAGCCTGCACCGTATCTTCTCGGCTGGAAGACCTGAAAGCCGCTGGTTTGTTCTGAGGCAGAGACGGTGGCAGCTCCGGTTTGGACAGGGGGAATTCTGGAAGTCTGGCATAGAAGGGGTGGCAATAAAACATGTGAACGAGAGGGAAAAAAAGCAATGTTTAAAAATCTGCAGGTACAAGTTGCAATTACTGAGCCGAGTCTCATTTCTTCCCCACCCCCACCCTCCTTTAAAAAAAAAAGCAGAAAGCAAAAAAAATAAATTCATCCAATTCTGCACAATCGTGTCACCGTTTTTGCTCTTCTGGAAGGAGTTTTGGACACTCGGGCTTTCTGCCGACTGACGGACTGGGGGCCAAATCGTGGTTTGAATGTAGGTTTTATCTGTTATTTATTATTTTGTTCTAGAGCAGTGTTTCTCAACCTTCGGAGCTTGAAGATGAGTGGACTCAACTCCCAGAATCCCCCAGCCAGCGCTGCTGGCTGGGGGATTCTGGGAGTTGAAGTCCACTCATCTTCAAGCTCCGAAGGTTGAGAAACACTGTTCTAGAGTTTTCAACTGGATAGTGAATGGGTGTTTTTATTTGTTCTGGTCTCTGACTGTAATAAACTTGATTTGATTTTTGACTTCCTGCTAAAATCAGATCTACAGGTAGGGCAAAACTCACTTAAGAACCGTGTCGCTTAGCAAATTTACCACATTTTGGGCTCGACTGCCGTCGTAAGTCAAGGCTACCTGGACCTGTGTTTTCCTTGTTGCAAACGGTCCTCCCCCGAGGGGTTCCCATGTCCAGTTTGCTACCCGCAATCCTCAAACGGAAGCCACAAATATTTCAGTACCTGCAGGACAGATCTGAGGCTCACCTTCAGCCAGGACTGACTTGGGTTGGAGAGACACGATGGGGTTATTGATGGACTGAGGTTGGGTATACTGGACGGAGGGCACCGGGGGAGTTACTTGAGGAGGGGGCTCGTAGCGCTTGTCTCCAAGACCCCTCTCTAGGGGCTCCACGTCTACTGACTTCCCCCTGTTAGGACACAAGAAAGAGACATCAACCCTACAACTTCCTGCCGTTCGGTTTCTCCGATTCAATTCCTGGAGACTCCCTAACACCTCCACCCACCAAGAATATTTCATTTCTGAGACAATTCTATGGACTTCAACTCCCAGAATTCTCCAGGGCTGCCTGGGGAATCCTGGGACAGTCCATACCTCTGGAGTTCTGGAGGCCCACCCATCTTCAGCTTGTGAAACACTGTTTTAGACCGGGACTCTCAAAACTTGGCAAGGCCTGTGGACTTCAACTCCCAGAAGTCCTTGGGAGAACCCTTAAAGACGTGTTTCTCAACTGCAGCAATTTTATGAACTTCAACTCCCAGAATTCTCCACGGCTGGCTGGGGAATTCTGGGAGTTGAAGTTCACAATGTCAACTTGCAAAGCTTTCAAGTTGCCATGAGCAGGAGGGAGGGAGAACTGATGGAGCCGATTGATTTCCCTAACTGAAACTACATTCCACAGATGCCTTTCTACCACCGTCAGTAGGAGAGCTTTGGGTTTCACAACCAGCCAAAGTGGTTAATTGGAGAATGTGATTTATGACGTGGCCAGGGAGGAGGGGAGAGGCAGGGTCAGGGGAGAACGTAAATCTACGTGGGATTAGTTCTAACGGCATCCGAATATTGCCGAAATAGTGCTCCTAATAAATGACTATTTCTTTTGAAGTTTGGCTCGTGGCTCATGAATTAATTAGGGCATCTTTCGGAAACTTCACACACAAGTCTTAAAGTTGCTGAGTTTGGAAAGCCCTGTTTTAGACTCTCCCTGGCCTTAAAGGCCCACAAGTTCTGCCCCCCCCCCCCCCCCCCCCCCCCCCCCCACAATCTTAGAAATAATGGAAAAAAACAAGGACAATAATGCAGGAAGACAAGGAAAGGGGGCTGGCTAGAGAAACCCACAGGATGAAGAAACTTTGTTACAGGAACAAGAGACACAGAACAGGGAACGCTAGGGTTGTAAGGGACCCTGGAGGTCTTCTAGTCCACCCCCCTGCTCAAGGAGGAGGAGGTGTGCAGAAAGAGGCCCAAGGCCTTACTTGGAGGAGTAATTGGTGTAGTTCAGCTGATTGTGAACGGCTTTTCCTTGCTCCGCATGATGGCTGCTGGGGACTTGGGCAGCAGGCTTGCTATCGTAGTTCCGGCGGTCGAAATAGGAGAGCTGCTTGCGATAATATTCCTCGTCTTCTTCGGGGTCGTAGTGGTTGGCTCGGACGATGTCCTCGGGAGGCTTGGCTTGAGGTCTCTGCGGTTCAGGGGCTCTAGCAGCACCAGGGAAATTCAAGGGGATCTTATTTATTTCCCACCTTTATTGGTTTGATAAATAACTCAAGGTGGCTAACTTCTTCCTCCTCATTCCCCCCCCCCCAATGACGACGTTTGGAAAACTGCAGGATTTGCCTGCCTGGTGCTTCCACACACGGGGGAACACACTCCAAATTGTGCTATAGAAACTCCGAGATTTGGGTAAAAAGTAGGGACCACGGCACTTTGGTGGAAAAGGTAGTCCTCGTTTAACGACGTTTCACAGCTTACGGCCGTGATGAAAAAGCAACTCTGTGGCCAACCCTCACCGGACTCAGGGTCTTCGCAGGTCTGCCAAGCGAAGGAAAGCTGAAGCCAGATCCTAAGCACGGTCACGGTTTCGTTGAAGGACCGCTTCACTCAATGACCAAAGGGCCAGTTTCAATTGTGGTCATTAAACGAGGACTACTTCCAAGTCAGCTAACAGACCGGTTACATCTTTGGGATCACTTCAAAAGAACAAGCCCTGGAGCTGTCTCTTTGTGAAAGCGGACACCAGAGTCGCCGCCAGGTTTACGCAGGCAACTTGTGCGTTGATGGTGGGTCGTTGCACACCTCCGTCTGCATTTACCTGTAAGCTGATTTGTCGCTCGGATTTTGAGAGGCTGCTTTGGGGCCGGTCAGCGGTGCCACATTTGGTTTAGGCGCAAGTTCGGGAGGATGCTAAAAAGCAAACAGATCAAAGTCAGAAAAAAAGGGCAACGGAGATGCTTATTTGACGACTGTCTGGGGGGCAAACCAGCATCCTGTCTACAAAGGAGGAGCCGGTCCAGCTAGAGCTTGGCCCTTTATAAAGGGGGCCCATTTCAGCAAAATCCATTTTTGGTGTTGATTTAATCCGCCTGCCCTTGGAAATTGGCATTACCCAAATTATTACAGTGTGAACAATGTTAAGTTGATATTGCATAAAGTTGCTGTCCTTGGGAAGGAAGGGAGGAAGGACGGAGGAGAGGGAGGAATGAAGAAAGGAAGGAGGGACTGAGGGAGGAAGGGAGGAAAGGGGGGAGAAAAGAAGGGAGAGAGGGAGGGAGGGAGGAAGGAAGGAAAGAGGGAGGGAGGGAGGGAGGAAGGAAGGAGAGACTGAGGGAGGGAGGAAGGAAGGAAAGAGGGAGGGAGGGAGAAAAGAAGGGAGAGAGGGAGGGAGGAAGGAGGGACCGAGGGAGGGAGGGAGGAAGGAAGGAAAGAGGGAGGGAGGGAGAAAAGAAGGGAGAGGGAGGAAAGAGGGACCGAGGAAGGGAGGGAGGGAGGGAGGGGAGAAAAGAGGGAGGAAGAATGGAAAAAGGGAGGGGAGAAAAGAAGAAAGGGAGGGAGGGAGGGAGGGAGAAAGGAAGGAAGGAGAAGGGAATGAGAGGGATGGAGAGACAGGAGTTTTAACTGCCTCCCACGTGTTATTTCTCAAATCCCCCAACATCCTTCTAAATCCCACCAGACACTTTGAGAGGCGGAGGCTGCCCAGAACCCCCCCTCCCCCGAGGCTCTACCTTCACCACCGAGAGATCGTTCGAGTCCTTGATCTTTTCCACCGACGTGGAGCGCTTGTTCTCAAACATCTTCACCCGAGTGAGCACCGACTGGGGCTTCATGGCCGGGTCGTCCTCCTCCTCGGCGGGCGGGGTGGGCAGTGCTTTATTGTTGCAAGGCATAGCTTCGGGCTTGCTCTGGGGAGGGAGGGCAGGGTGGGGACCCCCGGTGCCGAGGGACGCATCGTAGGGAGCTGCTTTGGCGCTGAAGCCCGGCGGAGGCGCTTGCTCGTAGCCTCGCGGTTGCGACTCGTAGTAATGCTTCGGCTCGGGCGACCGTGGCACCGTGGTGGAGTATGGCTGGGGCTCCGACTTGTACCTCCCGTGGACTTCATAGCCGGGAGGAAGCGGCTCCTCATACCTCACCTGGGAGAGGTTGAAGGCTTTGGGGCCAGGCTCGTAGTGGGGCCGGCTGTCGTAGGCCACGGGGGGCGATTCTTCGAAGCGAGGCTGGGCCGTGAAGTAGCCGCTGCGCGCTGCGCTCTCTTCCGCGTTGACCCGAGGGTCGAAATCCCGGGGCGGCTGGCTCTCGTAGGGCGGCCGAGGCTGGTAGGGCTGCTTCTCCTCGTAATACATCCAGTGGTCTTCGTAAGGGGGCACCCGCTCCTCGTAGGGCAGCCGAGAGTCGTAGCCGTGGGGGAACGGGTCCACGTAGTTGGAGGAGTCGTAGCGGTACGCCAGAGGCTCGTAATCCCGGTTGGCCGATTTCTCCGGATAGGGACCCTGCAGTTCGTAGGTCAGATTAGGGTCTTTCTCTTGTCTCTGTCCTGGCTGCTTCAAGGCAAAGTTTTGACGAGGGAGGTCCTCGTTTACGAAGGGTTCTTTCCGGTACATCTGTGGAAAAAGAGCGTTTTGCTGCAGTCAGATATTGTCGAACATCTAGATCAGGGGTCTCCAACCTTGGCGACTTTAAGGCTTATGAACTTCAATTCCCAGAGTTCCTCAGCCAGCAAAGCTTTGGAGACCCCTGATCTAGAGTCAATACATCTGGATCAAATTAGGGCTTGACCACACCCAGATCCTCGAAAGACTGACAGGCAGTCCTTGCTTAGTGACTGCCTCGTTCAGAAACTGAACGATCAATCCTCGCATTTATGACCCTCCCAGGTCTCTACAGCCAAGAAAAAGCTGAAGTCAGATGGTTAAACACAGTTGTGGTTTTACATACCGTAGCAATCACTCAACGACAGAGTTGCCAGATCCAACTGTGGTTGCTAAACGAGGAGTGCCGGAGAAACTGGCCGTCAAAATCAGTCTAACGAACACTCCTCCTAAAAATTTAGCCCTTTCCAAGGGAACCTCCGAATCAAACCGTCCTGAGACGGTCAGTGACACAGCCCATTCCTCCCCCCCCCACTCCACCAGCGGATCAAAATACAGGGTGACCCAAACCCATTTTTTATTAAATACCCCCCCCCAAAAAAAACCCGTGTCATTATAAATCGGGAAACAAGGCTGCAATTTCCTGAAAAGTGCATTAACAAAGGAAGAGAAAGCATCAGCCACGCAGCATCGCTTAGTAAAACAACACAACGCAAACAAACAAAGGAACAAAAAAAAAAAATTCAAGCCGTGAAGCTCTGAAATGTGAAATGCCGGGCGGTACCTTTGAATTTAGTTGCCGCAGAAATGAGGATCGACCCTTGAATGCATGCAAATCAATGACTGCTCCCCACCCACCCAAATTAGGGCCCCAAATTATTTTTTTTTTTCCTGAAGTTCTTTTGGATTGCAGGAAGAAAAGGTAGCTTAGCAGCAACGAGAGCCTTTAGTACGCAAGCAAAGCGGGTACGATCCAGCGATCGTTTCGACGGGCAGCCCCCGGACCCGTAGGAGGTGGCGGCGCAGCCACGGGTACCTTGGTTGAATCTAGGTGCGGTGGTAAGGAAGGCAGCTCCTGGTCTCTGAGCACTATGTGGGGCGCCTCGGGGCCGGCCATCCTTAGGGGCCCCGCTTGTGGCTGGTACGAGTTGTAAGGGGCTGCCCCAGGTTCCTCCAGCCTGACATTGGGGAGGCTTACACAGGGGTTAACGGCAGACGTCGAAGAGGCCGAGCCCCCCGTTTCTGGCGACGGGGAAAGGTAGGGGGGTGAAGAAGCCTCTGCTTTCTGCGAAGTGTTTAAAATAATAGGTTTTGGTCAAGCTGAGACTCTTCCCAGTGCATCGAAAACATCATTATTATTTATTAATATATATAATTATAATATAATTATATATATTAATATATATTAATATAATATAATCTCACCGATAAGGTGATTCTGGGCGGCTTATGGCTATTTGTTATAATCACCGCACAATCCTTACAGAGGTAAGCCCTGCGTGCGTTAAGTCAGGGTGTGGGTGTGTTTCCTTTAGATTATGAAACTGGACTGATTAATATTCCTCCCTCAAAAGGGCAATCAAGTTAGCCACGGATAAAAACAGGGCATTTTGATGGAGTTCGTGTGGGGAGAAGAAAAACGGGGGTAGACGCAAGGGAACCCATCAGAACCCCACTAAGCGATTCTGGAGCAGTTCTCTTCATTCTCCTGCTAAATTCACCATGATCTACGGGAAGTCCTCGAGTTACGGCTGTAATGGAGCCTGCGCATTACGGTCCTTAAATTTTAATGGGGTAAAATGGGTCGGTCACCTAACCGATCCAATTTTACATTTTTTTCTGCCTTGGTCTCTAAGCGTCAACGGTTTGCTAGTGGGTGCAGTTTTGCCAAAAACCGTCATAAAATAGAAGAGTGTCACTGTGGGACACCGCAAATGGCCCAAATACAGTTGTGTTTCTGGGGCATGGTCATGTGACTATGGGGAGGGGCAGAGGAGGAGAGGAGACCATTAAAACTTTGGATCCGGGTCGGTGGTAACTATGAAAACATTACCAAGGTCAGGATAAGAATATGGGGGAGATGACTTAGTAAAGATTGAAACTGAAAAATCGGACACAAAAATTTAAATTGTTGGTCCCCCACGGATGCTTTTGAGGGATTTACGTATTTTAAATAACCCAAGGGTGCCCATTCAGGGTCCTGAGCTGGTGGGAACTGGAGGGGTTTGCTTGTCTTGGCTTCTGCTAACATTTTCTTACCGGTTGAGCAGTATTGTTTTTAAAACCCGGAGAGTCTATCCTGTGATTTGGCTGTGGCTGGCCTTGGGACCCATACGGAGGACAGCTTTGGTTCTCTGGATGGACCCCGGATACTTCTTCTCTTACAGGTTCAGAGGAGCGGGTAATGGCGGATTCTGGGGGAGTCCCAACCTCATCGTTGAGCGTCTCGTCCAGCTCTTGGTCTGTGTAGGCTCCGCCTTCCGTATCCGTGTCCTCGTAGTCGGAGGTGTGCCGGCTGTCGGTGCTGTACATGGAGTACTCGCTACCTGGAGCCGACAGGTAGGAGAGCCGGTCATCATGTAGATCAAGGTCATCACTTGTAGTACCATCTGCCTGTTTTAGACACATCAGAGTTGGACAGTTGAACGGGGAGGTGGTGGAATCGCGCTGGTCTCGACTGCAAAGGAGACCGAACTCTACATCTCCTTGGGAAGATGCTCGAGAGTTAACTCCAAAAGGATCTTGAGTTTCCTCCAGACCATCTCTTGAAATAAGGTAGAGAAAGCTCAGAGAGGACCATGGAGGCCACAACTCAACCCTGAGTTACAAATATTCTCTTCTAAGATAGTGAAATCTCTTTATCTAAACCTGGAGAACCACTGCTCTCATCAACATCGTTGAGTTTGCTGGGATGGGCTCATTCTTCCTACAGCCTTTTCCTAACAGGCTCCTAGGACAGGCCCAGCAGCAGAAGTCAGAGACATTGTAAGCTGCTGCTTCTTCCATCCAACTTCGCCATGAGGGGCAAGAGGTCTACCAGCCAGAAGCCCACCTAGGCAGATGTTCATATTCCCCCAAACCTTGTCTATCAAGCATGCAAGCCTCAAGAGGGATCAACCAAAGCTTTGCAAGCAATAAAGGTCAACTGAGTCTCTATGTCCCCTCATCTCAAATCCCTGGATTGGGGTATCTACTTCCTAGTTAGTTCTTCTTCAATTGGCCCGCACTAGTTTCAGACATGGCTGCCTCCAAATCTTTTCCAACCCTATGGAAAGAGTTGACGAAGAAGTTGACTTTCACCTAGAAGCTGTTGTGATTCTGAACAACTTAAGCATGACATCTGCTAACAAACAGAAAGAACTCCATACCTTTCCTTCCGACACCCAAACTAGCTGATTTTGTTGTTGCTGAATCGCTTCCTTGAGTGCTCCATACCATCCATCATTCATGGAATTCAAGTTAATGGTAGCTAAAGGCAGACAGAAAAGGGAAGGAAAAGTCAAGAATGAGAGGCGAGGCGCTGAAATTAAGTCACAGCCGCAGCTTGTACCGAGCACACAATGGTCTTCATTGATTCTAGAAGCCTTGGAAGCTACAGAAGAGCATGATTTTGAGAGTTTAGACCTTGGATTTAGAAATCCTAAGGGAACTCCCTTCCAAAGTTAGGTTGGACTGGAGGAAAAAAATCCGGTTTTGTCATCTATCTTGCAAATGTCAGTAGAAGTCCAGGATGTTTCGCTTAAGAGCAAACAGGGGTTTCTGAGACTTTGCAGAATGTGGCTGATTTCATTAAGAACCTTCAGTGATGTTTTTCAGACATGGTTGTTCGACATTATTTAATTATTTCAGGGACAACAATTTTTTTTTTGAAAATAGAGAAAAAGACATGGAAGATGGAAGGAAGGAGAAATGAGGGAAGGAAAACAAGGAGGGAGGAGAGGGAGAAGGAAGGAAGGAAGGAAGGAAGGAAGGAAGGAAGGAAGGAAGGAAGGAAGGAAGAAGGAAGGAAAGAAAGAAAGAAAGAAAGAAAGAAAGAAAGAAAGAAAGAAAGAAAGAAAGAAAGAAAGAAAGAAAGAGGGAGGGAGGGGAAGGAGGAATTTTATTCATTCAACCCAACCCTTTTTCCTGGCATGCTCACCTGTAAAGAGGTGATGGTTGTTTTTGCGTAACTTGTGAGCCCTCTCATACAATTTCCTGGCACTTTTCCGGGATTCTGGACAGAGTCTCGTCCTCATGGTCTTTACCCCCTGCTTGGAGTCTGGGTTCAAGAACACCACAATGGGATACCATTGGGCGTAATTTAGGCGGTCCACTGCATTTGGGGTGACGTCTAAGAGGGCGTGTTTGTCCTGAGAAATGAGAACATGGATAAGAAAGGCGAGTGACACGTCTGTCCATCAGTTGACAAAAACACAGCATCTAGATGAGGATTGTGCAAGGCATGGATGTCCAACCTTGGTCACTGTAAGATCTGTGGACTTCAACTCCCACAACCGCTTTGACTTTTGCTGAGAATTCTGGGAGTTGAAGTACAGCGGCACTTTGGTACTCAACTGCTTTGAAACTCATCGAATTTGGTACTCAATGCATTTTGATGCAAAAATGTTGTCCAGGTACTCATTGTTTGTTTGGTACTCAATGCACAAGCTAGGAGTTGTTGGTGTCGGCTGCCTTGTGACTCACTACATTACTCCTCATGGGAAAAATCTGTTTGGTACTCAATCATTTTTGGTACTCATCACAACTCTTGGAGCCAATGAACGACTAGTACCGAGATAGCACTGTACCCAGAACCAGAAGGCACCAAAATTGCGAAAAGCCTGCTATTAAGAAAATAAATAAATAAATAAATTCAGGTTGATGAAAAGCTGGAATCCTGCATTTTTGGGAGTTTCCAGACTGGGGAAGGAGAGTCAGAAGTACAATTATTCTCACGAATAGAATAATGTTTGTCTGGGGAACAGGAGCATCCCAATTACTTACTCTGTCAATTATCTGTTTTATTGTGTGAAGGCGAATGATGCCTGAGCTGCGTTGGTCAGTTCCAGCATCCCTGGGCTCACTTTCTGTTGGAAAAAAAGATAGCAGACGTTATCCAGTATTCACCCTACATTTTAACAGGTATCTGGTACTCCTTTTCGGTGGCCCCTTGCTCTGGAGAAAAGGGCAAGCACTGTGTGCAAAAAAAACCCTCTTCTAGATGTCAATGCTTTTCGTTAAAAAAATTGTGCTTGCCGGCAGTCACAGTTGTATCATCCTTCCCCTCTCTGTGGTGGTGCAGTGGTTAGAATGCAGCATTGCAGAATAATTCTGCCAACTGGCTCGAGGTTGACTCAGCCTTCCATCCTTCCAAGATCGGCACAATGAGGACCCAGATTGTTGGGGGGCAAGAGGCTGACTCTGTAAACCGCTTAGAGAGGGCTGTAAAAGCACTGTGAAGCGATATATAAGTCTAAGTGCTATTGCTATTTTCCTTCCTTCCTTCCTTCCTTCCTTCCTTCCTTCCTTCCTTCCTTCCTTCCTTCCTCCCTCCCTCCCTCCCTCCCTCCCTCCCTCCCTCCCTCCCTCCCTCCCTGTGGTTAGAATGCAGGACTGCAGGCTTACTGTGCTAAAATGAGGACCCAGATTGTTTGGGACAAGAGGCTGGCTCTGTAAACTGCTTAGAAAGGGCTGCAAAGCACTATGAAGCGGTATGTAAGTCTATTGCTATTGCTCCTCCTAGCTAGTTGAGTAGCAAGATGCTTACTGGCGATCTGATAAATGTCAGGCTCCTCACGAGCCAACTTTTCTCGTGCAACGTCAGCAATTGGTCCAAAGATGGTCACCGGCCTGAGAAATCCAGCTAGAATGAGAAAGCGACACTAGAGTTAAGTTGTCTCCTGAAAAACATTGTGTGATGTGTCGGTTTGCGAGAAAGGTTGGGGCCTAGACTCTGTCCTGGTTGCGAATGGGAGGAATCTGGGGTCCCAAACCCCTTTTGGAGAACACCTAAAAGCAGAGGAACAGATCGGGCTCAGATACAAAGTCACAATCTTCCTGTCCTATCAAGGCTGGAGATCAAACTTCTGACCTTGACTTTCCCTAGGAACCTTTCAGGATGAAAAATAATAAGTATCTGAAAAGGATTGAAAAGAATTCCTCTGTGTAAACACAAGCTTCTCCTCACCATTGTTCCTAGAGGAGTATCTTTCCTGCTTGAGCAAGGGGGGGTGGACTAGATGACCTCAAGGATCCCCCCCAGCTCTGTTATTCTGTTGTTTCTCCTTGAAACCCACCTTCTCGGAGGACCACCCTCTCGTAGGCAGGAAACTTGGTCTGAACTGGTTGGGCGGACAAATCCTCTCTGCTTTTTCTCAGGTTTCGCTTGGAGCTGCGCAGACCTCGGAATCTCCAGAAATCCGCCCGATCCCCCCCTGCGGTCTTTGGAAGGGTGTACTGGACACTGGCCAGCTGTTCAGCTCTGGGTGAAACAGACAAGAAGACAAAACAATGGGGAACCCGCAAAGGGAGGGACCGACAGCCTCAAGGAGGACAGTTGCCCAATTCCAATGTAACCAAACTGAAAATGGGATTGGAGAAAACTCTTTTGAGAATCCCTCTGGAATGCAAGGAGATCCAATCGATCACCCCTAAAGGAATCCAACCCTGGCTGTCCGTTGGAAGGACAGAGACTGAAGCTGAAGCTCAAATACTCGGGCCACCTAATGGGAAGAGAGAACTCCTTGGAGAAGACCCTGGCGTTAGGAAAGATGGAAGGCAAGAGGAGACGGAGACAACAGAAGATGAGAAGTTAGATAGGGCCATCAAAGCAACGAACAGGAGTCTGGGTGAACTTTGGTAGACAGTGGACAGGAGGCCCCCAGTGTGCTGTGGCCCATGGGGTTGCGAGGAGTCGGGCACAACTGAGCGACTGAATCACAAAACAGGGTTCTAACTACAACTTCAGCTGTCTAGTCAGAGGTTGGCTTGAGAAGCAACGCTTAAATATACCTGTTTTTGTTGGGTATGATGCCCCTTTCCACTTCCTTGTGATTCTTGCCAATCCGTATCGCCAGCCAGGAGCCCAGCTTGCCGTTGTACAGGGTGTCCACCACGCGGAAGACTTCCCCTTTGTTGAAGCTCAGCCCGTAGGGAGACTCCTTCTCGTACTCAAAGTGGGTTCGGATGTAGAAAGAATCTCCCACGTCGGATTCCACGATGCGCCGATAAACTGTTGAGAGAGATAGAAGAAGAAGAAGAGGATGAAGGCTTCCGTCGTCAGTCCAGCGAGTTCACCAAGGCCACTGAAGGCCGTTGACTCACCGTCTTTCTTCTTCTGTGCCAAAATGGTGACTTCTTCTCCTTTGGGGAGGTCAAGCAAGAAGAGAACCGCTTCTTCCCGGATGATGTTGGTGAAGTCGACATTATTTACCTGATGCCCCAAAAGGAACATCAACGTTACAAAAATAAATTTAAAACGCAACGAATCCAAGTCGGTGCCCATCTATTATTCTGAAACAGTGCACATTCTTAGCCTTCTTTTATTGCAAACTTCTTCGCTAATCTCAAAACATTTCCTGATGGGTGGAGCTCTCTGAACTTGGTTGTTTTTGCTTGCAGGTGTTTCATGACCCAACTAGGGAAATCATCAGTACTTGAAGAGAGTGGGGTTTGCGGAGTAGAGGATGAAGAGAACTTTGAGGTCCTTGGTGCCCTCTGAACTCATATTCTTGCAGTCGTTTCATTACCCAGCTAGGGAACATCATCAGTGCAAGAAAACCACCAGGCTCAGAGAGCACCAAGGCCTCCTCCTCCACCTTCCTCCTCCACTCCGCAAACACCACTCTCTTCTAGCACTGATGACATTACCTAGTTGGGTCATCAAACATCTGCAAGAAAACATCCACAATTCGATCCTGAGTTACAAATACTTTCCTTCTATCAACATTTCCTTCCCTCTGCTTCTACAAATACAACCAGGTATTTCCCTAATGGCCTTCTATGTAACAGCTACAGAGGTTGCAGCTGTATTAGAATAAAAAACAGGGCTGCCCACCTACCCTGAGAATCTGATCGCCTTCTTCCAAGCCTTCCTTGGCAGCAGGGCTGTCCTCCAAAACACCAGCCACAAATATGCCAACATCGTTGCCGCCAGCCAACCTCAAGCCAACACTGTCTCCCTTCTTGAATTTAACGAGCTTCATGCTTGGCCTGCAAGAATGAGAAGAACAGGATTTTTAAGCCAGGGTGTCTTGCCATCTCTTACATTTTGTATATCGTGACAAGTTGGGTTACTGAGAAGAGCCACGAAGTCGGCTAAGAAAGATGCCTGCTCATTTCAAGGAGAGCTTTCGTGTTCTCCTTGAAATACCTGCTCATTTCAAGGAGATGCCTGCTCATTTCAAGGAGAGCTTTCGTGTTGCAAAAAGTACAGGTTTAGACAGCGTAATCACAATTCCACCACAGATGGTTCTTGACCTACGCCCACAATTGCCTATACTTAATACAGTTTTGGAGAAAGACTAGCAAAAGAGACCAGTGAAGGCCAGGGCTTCTTCTGCATCTCCAGCTGGAAAGGGAGACCCACCTAGTCCCAATTTGACAAATGAATTGCCAAAACAGGGACATGCTATGGGGACAAGCAAGAGGGTCTGGATCGCTCCCAACCACTCATAGCAGGCAGGCAGACATGGTGGCATTTTCTTGGCCTGAGATTAGAGAATGTCTGGAAGGATCTCTGAATGGCTCACAATCATCACTCAGAAAGACAAACACGACAATTGCAGCATAAAACTGAGGACGAGCCAACTTGGAAAAGGCCAACTGCGAAGCTGACCTTCTGCCGGGCAACCAGAATCTACCTCCGAAGGAGACTGGCTTTCTAGGGGCACCCCCACCCATAAAGGATACCGCTTATTTTTTTCTCCAAGTCCAGAATGTCTTACATTAAAAGGAGAGAATATAATATTTAAATTAGCACAAGACTTGCAATAACTATATAGCAAATACAAAAATTAGATTTAAAACACTTATGTGACATTATATAGTATTTGAGGCCCAGAAAGTAGCGGTCCGAATAGCTTTTATCGTTGGCCAGGGAACAATCGTCCACAGTACGTGGTCCATGAAGATGATGGCGTATCAGTAAATGTTTCAGGACCTGGGCTGGCGTGAGACACGGGACGGGCGAAAATCCCCTTACCGAAGCATCCCGTCTTCATGCGTTGAGTTTGGTAGAGGGCCGTCGGTGGGACTAACGGGTAAATCCACGTCGGGCTGTCCGGCCTGCGCATAGACGGGCTTTGGTTCTGTTCGGACAAGACAAAACGTTTCACAGAATGAAGGATGCCCTTTTAATGAAAACGAAGCTTGGAAATGGCTGTGATTTAAGTTCACTCTTTTATGCCTTTGGGACTCACAAGGACTCTAGAACTCTAGATACACCCACATCTGAAGCCCTTATAAATAAGAACACTGGCAGGGACATTCCCTAAATTCTGCTGAAGATGCTACCTAACCCCTGGTAATGAAATATTTGGAAACCAACCCACAAGCTCAGAGAATGAACCTTTACCCCCAACTCTAGAACTGTTTCATCTTGGGCTCTGGAGTGTAAGGAATGTATGCCCTGTGGGGTAGGGTTTAAGGCAGAGGTCTTCAAACTTGGCAGCTTTAAGACTTGTGGACTTCAACTCCCCGAATTCTCCAGCCAGCATAGCTATTACATAGACAGCTATGCTGGCTGGAGAATTCGGGGAGTTGAAGTCCACAAGTCTTAAAGCTGCCAAGTTTGAAGACCTCTGGTTTAAGGGGTTAGATCAGGAAAGGGGAGAGCCCAGATTCTAGTCTCCCTTGAGGGTTGACTTTGGGCCAGACTCTTTCTGCTTTCAGCCCAACTACACAGCCAGGTTCTCACTATGGAGGAAAATAAGGAGGCATCAATAAAAGAGAATATTTGTAGCTCAGGATTGAATGGGGGGGGGGGTCCTTGGTGCTCTTTGAGCTTGGTGGTTTCCTTGCAGAAATTTCATCACCCAACTAGGGAACATCATCAGTACCACAAGGGAGAAGAGGAGGAGGAGGAGGAGGAGGAGTGGGGTCCTTGGTGTTCTCTGAGCTTGGTTGATTTCTTACAGACGTTTCATGGCCCAAGTAGGTAACATCATCAGGGTTAGAGGGGAAGGGAGTTTGTGGAAAGGAGGAGGTGGAGGAAGAGGACCGTGGGGTAATAAAACACCTGCAGGAAAGCCACCAAACTCAGAGAGGACCAAGGACCCCACAAAACAGGAGGCCGTTGCCCATTCTGTACCTTGCCCTTGAGCGGCTGAATAAAAGGCGAGACACTAGATCGCCTCAATAATAAACCGCCTTGCATCCGCCTCACAATAATTACTGAAGACAGACAGGGTGGAAGACCAGGAGAAGGAAGAAAAACATTTGGCCCGTCTCAAGTTCATTACTTGGTTACACAATTCAGAAATATTAACAAGGAGATTAGGAGGGAGTTCAAACAGCTGTTTACAAAGCTCCTCCATCCCCATCTGGCTGTTAATTTGGAGTGTGGGAGACCACATAAATAGAGTAGGAGTGCAGATAATAGGAACGGTTCGGGAAGGTAAATAAGGAGTGATTATATGGTGGAATGTTTGGGTGGGTGCCAGGAGGTAATCTTAGGCGTAATTAAGAAAACACGCTAATCTGGGTCTAGAAATTAGCCAGTTCCAATAATAAAGAAGGAGTTTCCTAGTGTGTGTTTTCATTCATATGTGTGCCTGGGCACAGGCAGTCCTCGACTTACGACAGTTCATTTAATGACCACTCGAAGCTACAGTGGCATTGCAAAAATGGACTTGTGGCCACTTTTTCATGCTTACGACCGTTGTGGCATTCCCCACGGTCACGTGATCAAAATTTAGACACTTGGCAACTGGCTCGTATTTATGACGGTTGGAGTGTCCCGGGGTCATGTGATCCCCTTCGGACCAGCAAAGCCCACGGGGAAACCAAATTCACTTAACAACCGGGTTGCTAATGTTAACGAGTGCAATGGTTCACTTAACGACGGGGGCAGGAAAGGATGGGGCAAAACTCACTTAACGAATCTCTCACTTCGCAAGATAAACTTTGGGGTCAACGGTGGTCATAAGTTGAGGACTGACTGTCATCATCATCGTCATTTAACGACCCCATAATCCCTGGCGGGGTGGAGTCAGGGCAACTGAATGGAGCTGGCAGAGTGTTTTCCTGGCCGGATGCCCTTCCTGTCACCAATGTGGAGTTTTGTTCGGCAGATATATTCTCATTGTGCCCAGAGAGAGAAATATCTGCCTCTACCTAGGATTGAACTCAGAGCCTCCTGATTGTGAGACGAGAACTCCACCTCTAGGCCACCACACCTCTCCTAAATTCAGGACTGCCTGTGTAAAAATTAAAACATGAAGCGATAGCGTAATCCTTACCTGGAAGTGGTGGAGTCTGTTTGTCATTTTTTTCTGCTACAGAGTCTTCTACGGCTTTGGCTAGAGAAGTTTCTTCCGCGTTCTTCACAGGCGTGGAAACCGCTCCCGGCTTGGTTATTCTTTCATCATCTCTATTCCGGTGACTACATCAAGAGAAACAACACACTCCCTTTTCAAATTGGCAGCTGTAATGGTAGGCTCTAACCAGGAAATCCAGACATTTCATAACAAAGATCTACTATATGGGATGTGGCACAAAACGGGGAATAGGCAACCTGTTTGGGCTCTTTTTCTGGAAAAGCGTCCATTGAAGGCGTCTGAGAACTGGCCCTTACAGATATGTAAGAGTTTGGACAACTATTTGACTGAAATGATATTGGGTTTCCTGCTTGAGCAAGGAGTTTGACTAGAAGACCTCCAAGGTCCCTTCCAACTGTTTGGTCGAAGGGACCTCAGAATGGCCTACAGGGGTGCCCAACCTTGGCAAATTTAAGATCTGTGGACTTCAAGTCCTAGAATTCTCTCTGGGAATTGAAGTCCATAAATGTTAAAATTGTCAAGGTGGACACCCCTGGCCTAGAAGCTCCTGGGTCAAAGTTTTCCAAGGTCCTAAGCCTCCAGATAGAAATGAGACACTTATATCCTCCTACAACTTGAGGAATGCCAATCCTTTCTCCAATATTTAAAGAATGTGCTGCCCTTCTCTTTGCCCCGTTGGCTGATTGGGCCCCACCGACCATGCCACTCCAAAAATATGAAAACTATGTCAAGATATCTCAGTGTTTATAATGCTGAAAGATGGAGAGAGAGAGAGAGAGGAAATAAAAGAGCCAATGGCACCTTCACAAAACCAGCAATTAATTGTCCTTCTAGACCCATGAAGCTAATGGAATGGAGTAACAGAGTTGGAAGGGACCTTGGAGGTCTTCTAGTCCAACCACCTGTCCAGGTAGGAAGCCCTATACCATTTCAGACAAAGGCTCTCCAATCTCTTCCAGGGTTGAAACACCCACAACTTCTGGAAGCAAGTTGTTCCACTGATTAATTCTTCTAACTGTCAGGAAATTTCTCCTTAGTTCTAGGTTGCTTCTCTCCTTGATTAGTTTCCACCCATTGTTTCTTGTCCTGCCCTCAGGTGCTTTGGAGAATAGGTTGACTCCCTCTTCTTTGTGGCAGCCCCTCGGATATTGGAACACTGCTATCATGTCCCCCCTAGTCCTTCTTTTCATTAAACTAGACCTACCCAAGTCCAGCAACCATTGTTTTATGTTTTAGCCTCCGGTCCCCTAATGTGAATCAGTGATGGACATCTCCCCACTCTGGACCAGTCCTAGCAGAAGACAGGCAACCAGACACAGTCTTGAGGATGTACAGCATAAAAAAAATGAAGCTAGATTTATTCTAATTCTCCTTCCCAAGCACAGCTAATACGCTCACGTATTGTAACAGCAAGAAAATATCCTTGAGGTTGAGCAGATAAGTTCTTGTTACTCTCTGAATTTGGTTCTTTTCCTGCACCCAGAAGCCAATACTAATTTATCCTTGGTGAAATAATTAATATGCAAAGCGAGATTTGTTTTAACAGCTGTTTTTCTCCATAAATGAACAAGAAACAAAACCCAGCGCAAAGCTTTGCTTAGCTCTGATGGAGCCGCTTCCTGCAAATAGATGGCACCATCACCTCTACAAACTCATGATTTTAGAAGAGACCACGGTATGCAACACTCTTCCTTGCATGAGGACTTCAACTGTTGCCTGGCAAACACAACAGTTTCTTGAAAGGTCAAGAGATCTGTACCAAAAGCCATCAACACTGAAGAACTGAGAAGGTACAAGAATGAGTATGTTTATGATCACCATTACAAAGACAGGATTATCATTGCAATGACAATTATTGATTGTGGGATCATGGGTTTGCCTTACTGCTGACTAAATAGGGGGAAAGTCCTGATGCTTTTATGGAAAAACCTGATGATTCCCAAAGCAAATATGAAATACTAAATTTCTGGCAGAAAAAAAACTCACATAGTTTCATGCAGAAAGGAAAATCTAGAGTAGTTTATGATAAATATAAGGGAAAACCCAGCTTGATGGAATATTTTCTGATCATGCTGGAATCTACAGCCATCTTTAAAATAAATATTTTTGTTTAACTAAAGCATTTGCTCCTCCTGTTAATATATCACGGGGTACTGTATGTATGTTGCAATTTTAAAAAGGTATCATCAAATATGATATTGCTGATAAACCAATAGAGCCAGTTTGGTCTAGTGGCTAAGACACCAGGTTAGAAACTGGGAGACTGTGAGTTCTAGTCTTGCCTTAGCTGTGAAAGCTGACTGGGTGACTTTGTGCCAGTCACTCACGTTCAGCCCAACCCGCCTCACAGAGTTGTTGTTGTTAGTGGGATAACAGGAAGAGGAAGATGCGTTGGATATGTTCGCTGCCTAGAATTATTTGTAAAAATAATAAAGGCAGGATACAAATAAATAAACAAAAAACAAGCGAACATTCATCCCACAAAAAATATCTCCAAAGACAAAACAAACATGGGAAGAAGGGTAGCATTGGCTATCAAGGATCATCTGCAACATATCTCCTCCCAACGTTGAAATTTTGGAGGGAACTTAACTCCATGTGCACACATGAACATCGTTCTCCTCAACTCCTTCAACAGGAAGCAAGGAACATCCAAGATAGTCCTTGCCTTACAAACATCTATCCAGCAACCGTTCTTTCTGGGGAGACTCAACCTGCCTGTTTGTAGTCTTCCAGATGTGCTCTGGCTCTTCCAGGTGTTCCTGGAAACACTGCAAAGTTCCAGAGAAAAACCAAACCACCCAGAATAGCTGGTTTGTTGTGTTCCAGAGCCACCACGAGGCTTCTGGCATATCCTCCATGAGTAACACTGCAGCCCTAGGATGGTTTGTTCAAAAACCATTCCTTAATAGAGAACGATGTTGAGGGGAAAAAAATCACCTCAGGGAGAAAGCTCCTTCAGTCTTAGAAGCAAGGTTGGAAGGTCAATCAATCGCCCAAGAGTTGAGGAGCCTCAAAGCTTCTGCCTCTGGTATGTTGTGCTCACTGTTTGCTTCTCAGAAGGCAGCGAACGGCCTGCTAACCTTCAACTCTTCAGCTCTGAAGTGTTTTCTTGAAAAGCCAACACTCAAACACTGCATCTTCAAGTGGCCCTTGCTCAGCTTCTCCTGCTCTCCATTGCACCCACCCTCTGCTTAAATAGGTGAATTTCATGATATTTATGTGGACAATGACAACTGCGTTGCCTATATAAAAGCTGCCAATGTTCCAAAAATCTCTCCCATAAGCAAACTTGGCTTTTCTTGGTCCTTAATCTCTCACAGAATCCCATAAAGTTCACATGGAACTCTTAAGTTCTGTAGAAGCCACTTTGAAAAAACTCTGGGTTACTCCATCTTTTCACCTGGAGGAAACTTTCCTCGGTAGGATGAAGCAGGGAGATGTTACTGGAGCAGGTCAAATAGAGCCTTCCTCTCCTTGTTGGAGAAGACATGTCCTGGGGAAGCTGGCCAGATCCATCCTAGGTCTTCTCTGCTCAAGACACACAATAGTTGAACCTGGAACCTCCCTTCCATATCACAAGAGTTACCGACAATTCAGCCCAACAGACCAGCGAGAGACAACCCAGATTGCCAGCACCTGCAAATGGCTCTACCCACACTAATCCTGAACACCCTTTGCTTAAGATGATTTTTTGGATCCAATTTATTACAATCCCTGTCTAAGAACAATCAAGGAGCTGAACTATAAAGGATTCCAGATGCTCATCCCGCTGGAATCATCTCCACCCACAGAGGATAAAACAGATTCTCCTGTAAAAATTCTGAATGAGAAGACCCAAACGACATGAACATGGAGAAGAACATCATGAGGAGAACGCTTCCCGGACCAATCCTAAGTTTTGAACTTTCTAGTAAATATTCAATTTTGTTTTGCTTTTATAAAAAAAAACAAGGAGGGTGCAGGAAGTGTCTTGACACCGTCATTGTTTCTGGATGACAGAATGTTGTTAAAAATTACAGCCACATTTCCCATGAGTCACCCAAGGTGTGATTTCACTCCGCATATGTGTTTTGGCAGTAGAGCTTTGACTTCTAACATCTGTTCCGCATCAGGAAGGATCTTGGTCTTTAAGAAAGGATGCTCAACATAGCAACATTCTAAAATAACCTTCAGTCACAAAACAAGGGAAGTCAGCTACAGGATGATTTCATTAAGAGAGAGATCCAGATTGGATCCTGCAACATTATCCCAGGACATGTATATTTGCCTCCATTCGTCAGGACAGCCTTACTGCTACGCATCTAATTCCCCAAATCCATCCTTCCCTTAGGTGGCATCTCAAGAGTGAACCCTCCAGAAGACCAAAGCAGAATTCCAAAGATAAGATCTTTGAAAGCTATGGGTCCATTGGTCCATCACCTCACCGATGTCCGGGGGTGCCTCCCCACCCGTGGCTCCTGCGTTCACCCTGAGCAGCCATCCTCCCGTCCCTCCTTTTCATCAAAAAGTCTACTTCAAAAGAGCACAAGGCGACCATCACCTGCCATTGCTGGGCTGCTGTGGAGAATGTTCTGACCTCTGGTCAGGAGATCGTGAACGACTGCGACGGGGCCTGTCATGGGATCGGTTTGAATGATCAGATGCCAGCGACTGAATTTCTGAAATGTCTGTTAAATAAAAGTGGGGGTTTTCATGAGATGATTTAGAAGTAAAAAGATGGCATGACCTTCCCTAAGAATGAACGCAAGCTTGGGCAGGACTTGGAGGGGCCATCCGGCTTTCCAGACAGGAACTCCACTGTTTCCGCAATTTGGTCAGTGGAAGGTGGACTCTTTAGGCATTTCTTCAGCCCTTCCCCTGCGGAAGATCCCGGAAGCCTTGCCGTTCCACCTGACACATCACAACTTTTGGTCTCAACGGGGAACGGCTGACAGCACGGCAAGAGAAAGTCAGCGATACTCACCGTCTCTTTCTGAAGCATTGGCTGAGTGGATGCTGTCAGAAAGATCTGGGACATTCAGCAGAGTTGCTCTCTCATCCCTCTGAACCACCATTTTCAACTTGCCCTTTGACCTTTCTATCAGGGTTTTGGCGTCTGTCAAGGACATATTTTCCGTGACAGTTCCGTTGATCTGCAAGAGAACAGAGGGAAGACTGGTAGGAGTAACCGATGAGAAGTTAGCATCTACACGAGGGAGGTCCAACCTTGGCAACTTTTTAAAGACTTGTGGACTTCAACTCCCAGAATCCTCCCATCTTTTGGGAGATGGCTGGATGGGAAATTCTGGGAGTTGAAGTCCACAAGTCTTTAAAAAGTTGCCAAGGTTGGACCTCCCTGATCGATACCTTCGTGGCATCTTTGAAGAATTAAAAGGGTGGGGTGAGGGGGAAAATGCCACCGGTTTTGTCTAGACCAGCTTGTCCCAATCTGCAGCCTTCTGGATCTGCTGGAACTGGTGCTCCCTCCAGCCAACCATGACAGATAAAAGATGGGAGAAAGCGGGTTTACTGTTTCCTCAAACTAGATTAATAGTATCCCACCTTTTCTGCCCTTTATACAGCTGAATTGTTTTCTTTAATACACCAAAATATAGCTTATTAAAAAGCCAGACATTTCAAAATAAAGAAAAGCAACTTCAAACAGTGGCTAAGTGAAGGGTCGTATCTTGAGGATTACTTGTACTTTAAACAAAAGAGATGCTCAAACACGAGTATAAAAAGAGAGAGAGAGAGAGAGAGAGAGAGAGAGAGAGAGAGAGAGAGAAGAGAAGAGAAAGAGGAGAGAGAGAAGAGAGGAGAGGAGAGAGAGAAGAAAGGAGAGGAGAGAGAGAAGAGAGAAAGAGAAGAGAAAGAGGAAAGAGAGAGAAGAGAGAAAGAGAGAGGAAAGAGAGAGAGGAGAGAGAGAAAGAAGAGAGAAGAGAGAGAGAGGCCGTACCTTCAGCACAACATCTCCTTCCTGGATGTTGCCATCTTTGGCTGCCAAACTGTCTTGAGAAATTTCTTTCACAAAGATGTGGCTGGCCAGGCGCAACCCGTATTCTGTGCCAAACGAAAACGAAATGAGATGCTGTCCACCCAGAACAACTTCAGTAAACCTGCTTTCTCTGCAAATTGCACTTTCCTGGACTCTACCAATTCCCACAGAGCATGGCCGGGTACATTTTGGGGGGAAGAGAAGATGACCCTTCTTTGATTCATTTTTTTTTCTTTAGCAGATGGAGAAGCTGCTGTGTCCTTCTGGGGTAAGACGAGAGGCTGTGCAGGAGAAGAAGACCCTCCCAGTGATGCCACCCCCCCCCCCAAGTTGTAATGTTCTACCAACAATATCCAAAGCCCTCTTTATTTTCCTGGACTTCTGTCCCACCTTCAACACTGGCCATTAAGATGTGTGGACTTCCCAAGATCACCTGTTTTAAGATGTGTGGACTTTCAACTCCTAGGATTGACTGAGGATTTCTTGGGAGTTCAAGTCCAGACCTCTCAAAATGGCCAAAGTTGGGAAACACTGTTCTAGGTGAAACCTTTGACCCTCACAGAAGTAGAAGAGGAGGATTAAATCCATAGTTTTCAACAGCTGGGATCAACCCTGATCTAGCCCAATAGGTCCTACTCTAGATATGTCAGCCAGGGAGGGCTGGGCCACCAATCCCTCGTTTCTTTTGTCTTCTTCTCTCCTGAAACATGTGGTTTTCAAATGATGCGAGGATGTGATGCTCTCAAAAGATAAAAGGATTTGTGCAACTACCTTTCCCCGCCCATGAATGAAGCGAAAGATTTCACCAGGATTAGGGTTAGACAAGAAACAAAGATACCACTCCCTTTTACTAATGAAACTTTTAATTTATGCATCGTAGGGATTTTCAGAGTTCTACTTCTGCAAGATTGCGTGAGGAACAAAGCACGCAACAAGTTTGGGCACCAGCACTCGGGAGGAGGAGGAGGAGGAGGAGGAGGAGGAGGAGGAGGAGGAGGAGGAAGGTGATTTCTATGCCATCTTTTATGCATTTTTGGCCAACTCAAAGTCATGAACATAGCTAATACTTCAGCCTCCAATTCTCTCCACAACAGCTATACAGAAAAAGCCCTACTCTTAAAAAGAGTAGTTAGAGAAAGCACTTTTGGGCAACATGGAGTTACGTTTTCCAAACAAGATGGGTGAACTTGCTAAGTTTAATTCCCTATGGATTCCAATTCTTTTATGTTCTTGATCCATTTTCAAATAATTCAGCTAGAACCTAAAGGGAACCAGCTCCCAACAACCCTAAGCCTTACCTCTGTCCCAAATTTGATCAAAGTGGGGTCAAAACAGAAGGGGGTTAATTCTTTAATGAAGTCCACCCACTCAACTGAGGGGCTGTCGAAGTACCTTCGTTCTTCCTCGATTTCACCAACGTGACCTTCGTGGGTTTTGTGGGTTGACTGGAAGCCATGGATCTCCGGTCTGACCTGGGCGACACGCTCCTTTCTCGACTTGCGCTCCGATCCCTCGTCCAACTTTTCTCGTGCCTTCTACTTGTAGCACCGTGGGAACCTCTGGGGTCATGCAGTTCCTCTTCATAGCTGTCCTCGTCGTTTTCAGAGACGGGGTCAGGATCCGTCCGAGTCACTGGGATATGGACTTTCTTCATTCTTCGGATGGTCTGGAAGACATCCAAGGCAACAATCATTTCTGGCAGGGATGTCAAGCTGGCCACATGCCACAAAGCAATAGCATTTAGACTTATATACCGCTTCACAATGTTTTACAGCCCTCTCTAAGTGGTTTAGAGTCAGCCTATTGCCCCCAACAATCTGAGTCCTCGTTTTAATGACCTCGGAAGGATGGAAGGCTGAGTCAACCTTGAGCCGGTCAGGATTGAACTCCTGGCTGTGGACAGAGTTCGCCTGCAATTCTGCATTCTAACCACTGGGAAGGGACGGGACAGGACGGGAACGGAAGGGAAGGAAAGACTAGGAGTAGCACTCTTCACAGTGCTTTACAGCTCTCTCTAAGTGGTTTATAGAGTCAGCCTGTTGCCCCCAATAATCTGGGTCCTCATTTTACCCACCTTGGAAAGACGGAAGGCTGAGTCAACCTGAACCTGATGAGATTCGAACTGCCAAATTGCAGGCAGCCGGCTGTAAGTACTGCACTCTAACCACTACACAACCATGGCTGAAATATGGAATGCATAACGTTTTGGATATAATGATGGATTTTTAAACATTATGTTGAGGTGATGGAGCACCCACAACTTCTAGAGGCAAGCTGTTCCACTGGTTAATTGTCCTCACTGTTAGGAAGTTTCTCCTCAATTCCAGGTTGCTTCTCTCCTTGATTAGTTTCCATCCATGGCTTTTTGTCTTGCCCTCAGGTGCTTTGGAGAATAAGTTGACCCCCTCCTCTTTGTGGCAGCCTCTCAAATATTGGAAGACTGCTATCCTGTCCCCCCATGTCCTCAGTTTCTCTAGACTGGCCAAACTCAAATCCTGCCACCTTTCTTCATATGTTTTAATCTCCAGACCTTTAATCATCTTAGTTGCTCCTCTTTGTACTTGTTCCAAAGTCTCAGTATCTTTTTTGTAATGTGGTGACCAAAACTGGATGTAGGTTCCAGGTGTGGCCTTAATAAAGCGATGCTAACACCAAGCTACTCTACAGAAGAGAAGGCGTGGCATTCCCAACCCTGCCCCACTAGATTGCTGCCTTGTTTACACGGCAGGCCCAGTGCTGAGAAGAGGGCCCAGGGCACCAACTGAGGCCTTCTGTACAGTCACAACCCCCTAACTGATCAACTCCAAGAGGATCTTGTGTGTACACATTGGAGTCCAGTTCTGCCTTTTCTACCACACTGCCATTTGGGCAAAGCACATTCCTTTCCTGTCTGCAACTCCCTTGTTTTAACCTTCAACACATCTGAAGCCTGCTTTGGCTTTGAACCTACAAGGGTTGATAAGCAGATTAAATACACACACACACCCCTACCAAGCCCAGAGAGAGATGGGCCTTTGTGTCAGCCAATGCTCTCAGCAAAAAAAACAACCTTTCCCCTGCAGGGAACTGTAGCTAATATGTATGCCATTTAATAGTCAAGAGAACTTTTAATAGATCCATGAACTAAGCCCTGTTTTAAAAGGCTTAGATAGGATGGGTTTTCTACCACTGAATTGCCTTTCTAAATCACACCATTAGCTCCCTAGTCTAACCAGTCACACACAGCTGGAACAGGAAGAGTCCCCAGCGCTCTCTCTCTCTTACACACACACACAAACACACACAAAAACACACATGAACAAACAAAACTGGAGGTTGCCAGGTTCAAAAGAGGACCATTCTCTACACATTTGGCTATGCTCTCCATATCCATCTATCCATCCATCTTTTGTATGGCTGCCCACTCAACCCACAACTGGCTACCCAACAACAGAAAAACTAATAATAAGAGAACAGCTTAAGATGTTGTGTAAAATTAAAAGCAACTCAATCTACTAGTCATCCAAGCAGCTAAGGTGGGTTTCCCTCACTGACTGTCCCAACGCCTGGGAGAAGAACCAGCTCTTTGGGGCCCTTGAGGCTGAAGGTTGGAAGTACTGAATCTTGGTCAGGAGTGGGTGAGGGGGTGTCCCTTGGGGCAGGTGCCACCACAAAAAAGGCATGCTGCCTGGGTCCCATTAGATGGCACGGTTTCATGGAAGAAACCCAGAACCCTGATTTCCAAATTCTCTTCTCCAGCCATCTCAGGTGTTGGAGCGACCAACGTTTAGCAAAAGAACACACAAAGGGATTGAACTGGCATATGAGATATACATCCTGTCCAATCACAAACAAACACAACATGGCAACTGCTTTCCTGAAAGACAGGAAAGGGGGAGGGGGGGAAAAAAGACCCCACTTACAATTTTGGCATTTTTCCCACTTTTTCTCAGCTGCTGGACGGCGAAAGCGTGTTCCACGTTATCCATGGAAACACCGTTAACCATCGCAACACGGTCATTCTCCCTGAAAAGGTGGGGGGGAGGGGGAGAAAAATAAGAGAACAGCAAATCAAGAAGACTCCTCCCTCTATACATAAAAGGAGAACAATTTGCTCAAATCCAAAGTAAGACTGAGAGTCAAAATTATTCAGTTCTTCAGATGACTTTAAATTTTTGCATTATTCCTTGGGTTTTTTTTTAACATGCAGGTTCTCCTACGCCCAAGGTGAAGAACACGTGATGCTCTCATGATTAGGGTCCCAACTGTGATTGTTAAGTTGTGGAACACTTGCAAACCCATGACTCCAATGGTAGTTATGATAGAACGGATGCGATTCTTGTAACAGCTTCGTGGAAACGGTTGGATAAGGAGCAAGAGTAGAGAGTCCTTCTAGAGAGGCTCCAAACTCACTACTCCCCAAAGCCAAGGTTAAGGCAACACTTACTGTAACAGCCCTTCTGCTGGGCCTCCTTTGAGCACATCTGATATGACAATTGAGGTTTCACCGCTCTGGAAGTGGGGATTGTCTCTCCCACCGGATATTGCGATGCCGAAGCCAAATCCAGGCGCCTGAGAAGATCAGAAAGATGGTTGAAGTCCTATCTTCCATCACATCATCATTCTAAGCATGGTGACATCTACTGAACCACAACCTCAGATGTTCTCCAACATCTCCTTCTCCATGAGGCTCCAACCCATCTTAGATCTCGTGGAAATCATACATTTCCATGATGAGACAACACATGACAAGAACTCTGAATTACAGTACACCTGTATGAGTGGGGTGTTATATGTTTTTGGACCATTCCAACTCACAATCATATTATTTTGAAGACCAGAAGGTGTCCCAACCCTACTGCTGTTCCAACCCAGTGGTGACCCACCTGGATCTCTCTGTTGAAAGTTGGGATGTCTCAATCCCATCAGGACCTGCCTTTCACTTCCCCACACAATTGTATGCTACATCACAAACGAGTTAAGGTTAAATTTTTCCCTATCATCTCTGTCTGGTTAATACTAGAGCAGAGTATTTAGAATAGAAGAAAGCTGGAAGGGACCTTGAGGTCTTCTAGTCCAGCCCCCTGTTGAAGCAGGGTAAAAACTCAGTGAAATGCAAACACTGTACATTTGTTTTTCACAGTGTCCCCAAAAAACCAGTGTGTATGGTTCAAAATAACCAGTCGAGCAAAGCAGAAGCATCTCCTTTGATCAATCTTCTTCCTGCTGGCTCAAAGAAGCAAATTTCTCTGATCTTTTGATTTTCTGTTTTAAAAAATCGCTGGTCAAGAACAAAATCCAAACAATCCTATCCCAGTTGGAAGGTTAGCCAGTGAATTCCTAAATAAATTGCCAAAAGGCGGGAGAGGAGCCGGAGTGGTGAGAACAATAAACATTTTGGTTATAGTTTTACAAGCCATACCCAAATATTTTACCCGACACACCAGCATTTGACCTTTAAGCCAGCCAAGTAGCAACTGTGGAAACGCCAGCCACAAATATAGACCTCACCAAGGGTTCCTAAACTCCGGATTTTTTAAATGAGATCAACGGAGCAGCCAGAAGCAAAAATGGGTACGGAAAACCCAACTTATTAAGGCTGATAGGATTACTGCAGTCTCCCTGGCCTTGCTCAAAATGCCAGGCGAGAATTGGAAGGCTACCACCATTGCCCAGCCAAGCCATCAGCAGGGGCCAAGGGAACAGCCTCTTCGACGCGAATAAAATAACCGAGGAATAAAAATAAGAAGCCCCTCGTAATTTGGACAGGAGAAAAAAAATGTTGGCCGGGGCTGGGTTAGCGCCTGGGGATGAAAACCACCCAGATGCTTTCTTTTCCTCGATGGGATTCGGCTCATTGTGCGCAGAAAACATCACAATGGGAGTAAAGCTTCCAAGATTATTTCTCACACAGTTGGGAAGGCATTCTATTTTTTCTTTTCTTTTTCATAATGAAAAGCAAGACTTGCCAGAATCCACCCCAAGCTGAAATTGTACTCGGGTGAAAGAAGAAATGCAGGTCCCTTCACACTCCCTTCCCCTCCTTTGCCTGTATGACTTCCCTTGACAATCGTATTTGGAGTGGAGTTGCAAGAACCAAATCATCTTGCTTCAGAATGGTTGCATTTTTATGCAACACCCTTGACGGTTTTTCATGAAGCTGGACCTCAGAAATTGAGATGATCTGCCCTTAAAATTTTCACACGTTGTGTGTAGGCGAAGGAGTCGTGGAACCTGGGGCTGGAGTCAAAAGAGGAACCAACCTAGAATCCCTACGTAGTCACAAACAAACTACGTGCCATTGACTTTATTTAACTCCAAGCGGGGACTGACCATTAGTTGAGAAGATTCCTGTTCATAGGCTTTCATTAATAAAGCAATTTAATTGGACCTTCATTTGTGGACCTGTTCTTTCGCATCTGGCAACGTGCAAATATTCTGATGTGTTTTAAGCCCCCGCCCCCCAAACTTCAGAAAGAAGAGTAGCTTTATCGGGGTTGGGATGAAACTAGAAAAACCCTTTCTCCAGGGCTTCTCTTAGAGGAGAATAAAAGGCTGTGAGTTTTATTCTGCCGTAAGAGCCTAAAGATATAAGCATCTTTCCTTCTTGTGTGAACTTTCTCTACAGGCTACGTGGCACCAGGGTTGTCTCTCCCAAATGCGGACCAACATCCACATATACTTTTGCTTATCAACACAACCCATCCTAAGAACAACAGGCAAATTCTGCCTTAATGAAATATTAGAGGAGGCAGTTGCATCAACCTTTGAGTTTACTTCTCGTTTATGAAGTCGGTCAAGTGTTTCCCAACTTTGGTGACTTTAAGATCTGCGGACGTCAATTCCCAGCTGGGGGAATTCTGGGAGTTGAAGTCCTTCCATCTTGAAGTAAACACTGAAGGACCTGATTCAGGACTCGTGAACATCTCAGGTGGTTCGTTTGAAGGCCAAATCCTGGGAATATGTCTGGTAAGACGTTGTGTGTGTGAAAGTTGCTGGAATGTTCCAAGGGGCCTTGTCACATTCAGAACTCCCTTGTTGAATCTTTGAACTATTTATAGCTTGTAGGAAGTTTCAATCAGCCATAATCTCACTCTCCGTCCAAGGAGGAGAAAGAGCAACCCCCCCCCCGCCCCACCGAGGTCATCTCCTTTCCTGCAGCTCTAATTTGGAAAGCAGATGCCCTTCCTAACAAGCTGAAGAGGTAATCTTGCTTTGACCAAATCCAAGTTTTAATCAAGAATGAGAGGAAATGGAAATCTCCTACAGGACTTCTATTTCCGTTGAGAAAACATGCCTTGTGTTGAAGGCTCAGAAAAGCTGTTTTTTTCCCCCCCCAAGTAGGAATTAAGAGCATCTGGTGCAGTTTTTATCTTCTGCACAACTCCGAAACCCTCCCAGTTGGACTTCTGCTCCAGGCTGCCATCCGAGCAGTGCAGTTCCGCTTCGTATAACAGTGATGGACTGAAGACAAGTAAACTGTTTTTTCTCCAGCTCCGTTCATCTCTGAATATTAGTGCAGGTAATTCATGACTTGTTGTGTTCGTTTAGTGACTGTTCAAAGTTACATCGGCACTGAAAAAGTGACTTATGACCGTTGCAGGATCCCACAGTCACATGGTCAAAATTCGGACCCTTGGCACCTGGCTCGTATTTATGGTGGTGTCCGAGGGTTTTAACTTGATCATCTTTTGTGATCTTCTGACGAGCCAAAGTCAATGGGGGAGCCAGATTCACTTAGCAACCACATTATTAAACATTAAGAACTGCAGTGCTTCCCTTAATGGCCGTGCTACTAATTTAACAACTGCAGTGCTTCACCTTACTGTGGCGAGAAAGGCTGTAAACTGAGGCAAAACTCACTTCAATGTCTCATTCAGCCACAGAAATTTTGAGCTGAACTGTGGACTTTAAGTTGAGGGCTGCCTGCGTTTACAGAATTACTTTACCCCATTCTTTTAGCTTTGCAAAATGATCTTCCTCAAGTATTTTTTTTTAAAAAAAGAAAGGCAGAAAGAGAGAGAGAGGGAGGGAGGGAGGGAGCGAGGAAGGAAGGAAGGAAGGAAGGAAGGAGTGGAAGAGTAAGTAAGAAAGGGAGGTGCCCAGAATAAATTGTGCATTTAATTTTTTTTTAGCCGCACGGAAATATAAGGAGATGAATGAACTGAGCTATCGGGGAAAGGCATCACTTGAGTCAACAATCTAGATTTCTAATGTTACAACAGTTTTATGGAGTAGCTCACAACGGTGTAATCCAACTAGGCTGGTGTTTAACCACACTTAAAGTGCATGTTGTGTGCACCTCACTGGGTAATGTCTAGTCATGTACAAACTGGTTCAAATGCTGTTTAATCCTTGAGCAACTAAGCAATTTCTCCACTGGCTGGCTGGTCGGTCCTTTCAGATTTTCATGTTACTCTTTTTTTTTTTATTATTATTCTCTTTTGGGTTTTGGGGTGTGTATGTCTTATTCCAGGTAGTCCTTGACTTACAACCATTCATTTAGTGACCGTTCGAAGTTACGACGATGCTGAAAAAAGTGACTTTCGACCGTTTTTCATACTTATGACCGTTGCAGCATCCCCATGGTCGTGTGATTAAAATTCAGAGGCTTGGCAACTGATTCGTATTTATGACGGTTGCAGCGTCCCAGGTCACGTGATTCCCTTTTGTGACCTTCGGAAAGCAAAGTCAATGGGGAAGCCAGATTCACTTAGCGACCGTCTTCCTAATGTAAGGTCTGCACTGATTTGCTTAACAACTGTTGCAAGAAAGATTGTAAAATGGGGCAAAACTCACTTAATAACTGTCTCACTTAGCAACATAAATCTTGGGCTCAATTGTGGTCTTAAGTCAAGGACTGCCTACATAAGACCATCCAGGGATTTCTTCTGGGGCACCACAAAATCTCTTTGGGAATGAAAAATCAAAATAAAACAAACAAGAAATATTCCAGGGCTGAAGACTATTTTTGTACAATCGTTTATCTTGCATTGAGCCGCACGACAAAGCCCCATTTATTGGACCATACAATAAAGCACAATAAAATGCTAACATTTAAAGACAATTCTTGGGGATGGGGGGAAATCCCATCTAATTCCAAGTCATGGGAGGAAAAATTTGGTCACCTAAATTATCCTACGCTGCTTACGACGACGTCAATTTCAAGCAAAGGAGCAAGGAATTTTGCTCTGATTTTACCTTCTAAAAAGTCCTTATTTTTCTTGCTGCTTTCAAGAACATTCCGGATTTTTGTCATTGTAGAAAACTCACCCTATGAAGTGTCACCGTGTGTTGTTCCCATATGGCCGTTTCTTCCATTGTTGTGCTCTGATTAAAAGAAAAAAAAGGGGGGGGGGAATCACAATTAATTTCACTAATTAAACTTTCCTAAAACTGTAATCCGAAGTAAGCAACAAGCCCCTTTCGAAATGACTTTTGGTCCCTGCTTCAAAGCCCAAGTCAAACCAAGCGTGTGTTTTATGGCTTTTAAATTATGATCATGGTACGTAATATTCCGTCCTTTTTGTAACTTAAAAAAAAAGCTATTATGTATGGAATGCAGGACAGTTTTCATTTTTGTAAAACCAAAAATTATAGTGAACCAGCACAGTAAAACTCAAATGCTTTTCTTAAAAGGCATGCAACTCCAAAGGTTAGCCAAACATAGCAGAAATCAGAAATTTCCCCCATTTAAAAAAAAAATTACTTCCTGTATATAAAAATCACTGGGCGCATAAAGATGGAGGGATAATGAAATACCCACATTAGAAGACTGAATTATAAAACTGACTGAGCTTGCAGAAATTGAACAAATAAGCAATACAATATATATATTTTTAAGAAGCTAGAAGCCTTATATGGATTTTTTTGCTGAAAGAAGAAACAATTGAATTTACATTTTATAGATTTCAGGATTAAAAATGGTTGACGGGAGAAAGGAAAAAAGAGTAAGTCAATTATTTGATACCGTAGAAAGAAGAGCAGGAGTCTAATGTCATGTTTTCTTTCTTTTTTTCCACTCTTTTTATCTTTTTCTTTATACTTCTTTTAATGTTACACCTTTACTGCATTGAAAAATTCCAATAAAAATAGTATGCGTGCACGTTCCAACTTTTCTCACAATCTTTTAAGAATGTACTGCAGAGGGAATTGGCTCCCTTTCTAAAACTGGAAAAGGAGTTTTGGAGCAGGTACATTTCTTTGGAAACACCTTTCCGACACTGGATGCAAAAAATAGCAAATCCCTAATTATAGCAAATGTCAGCCCTATTGACAAAGTAGTAATGTAATAAAGTAGTAACCTCAAGAGTCACTTTTAGAGGGTTATCAGTGCCAGATGCCGACCCAGGACATAACCGAAAACCGTTCAAGGCAAGATTGACTATAGCAACCCTTGCAAAAAAAGTATTTTTTTTGCATTAAGTCGGGAAGTATTTCATGGCCAATAATCCTGAGAAAACCTTCCCCCCCTCCCCATCCTCATCTCTCACCCCAGCTAAATGATTTGCTTGCAAACTGGGTTTCCAGCCTCTGCTCCTAAAATCCGTGAAAAATAAAAAGCGTCGGAATTCGAGGGACCCAACCCAAGCAGCAAAAGGCACGAATCTTCACCTTGCACAAAATTACACCACCTTCTCAACTGACCTAAAAGGAGCAGCCAGATCCAGTTACCGTAAATTATAACGTCTGGTGCTTTTGGCTTGCTGTGCTTTTCCACTCATTGTTTTAGAAAGCGTCCTACCCCCTGGTTGCTTTGTAGGAGGGAGGGGGGGCATTACCTGGCACGGATTTTACTCCAGCCAGGAGGATTAGGGCACGTGAGCCCCTGTGCAGGAAAGTCACGTTTAACTGACACTGCAGTTAATCTGCTCTCTGGTGAACGCAGAAGCCAATGGGCTTCTCCGTCAAGCCAACGGATTAAAAAGAAAAAAAAGGTTCCCATCCAGTTTTAATTTATTTTTTTTTTCTTAAGTGAGACGGCAGCTGGATCAGAGGACTCTTGTAATTTAGGGCTGCAAAGGTAGCTCTGATTTTAGAAGGGATAAAACCGAGGCGCAGGAAAGAAAACGAAGGAGTCGAAAAAACCCAGAGAGTTTTAAAACCTCTAAATCTTCCCTTCGTGAGAAGCACTCCGGTCTTTAAGCCTGGCATCTTTCAGAGGTGACCTTGCCAAAGCTATTTTGTAAGGAGGAACAAAGAGAAAAGGGATGCAAAGAGTATCCCGGAAGCTTTAGACAGGGAAAAGAACAATTACCGAATTGTTCAAACTAAACTGTCGGGTGGGAGAATTTTGTAATATTGATTTTTGTACTTTCCTGCCAACCAGATGTGTTGCCAGTGTTAGGATTCGTGGAGAAACCATTTCTGTATCATACAATTTCTTTCTCCAGTCCAGAATTTGGCTCTCCCAGTGGGCTAAAATAAGGGACACAGTGGCTCAGTGGCTAAATTCGGCAGTTCAGCAGTTCGAATCCCTAGTGCTGCATAACGGGGTGAGTTCCCATGACTTGTCCCAGCTTCTGCCAACCTAGCAGTTGGAAAGCAGATAAAAAATGCAAGTAGAAAAATAGGGACCACCTTTGGTGGGAAGATAACAGTGTTCCGTGTGCCTTTGGCATTTAGTTATGGCGGCCATATGACCACGGAGACGTCTTCGGACAGCGCTGGCTCTTTGGCTTTGAAACAGAGATGAGCATCGCCCCCTAGAGTCGGGAACGACTAGCACATATGTGCGTGGGGAACCTTTACCTTTTAATGAGCTAAAACACCACATTGGGTGTTCATTCTGCGTTTTGTAGGGATCCAGGTTAGGTTTGTGTGACTTCAGGCTTTGCATAACAACCTTTGTCAATAAGCAAGGGTGACTTTAAAAAAAGAGACAAGAGGCAAATCTTTCTCCCAAACTGATTTTTGTAAAAAAGATGCACCCAGTGAATTTCAATTTAATACTTGCTGGTGGTATCCGAATATCCAGACAGGTGCAAAAGTCAAGATGTCACGTCTGAAAATCAAATATGATTTTTTTCAAGAAAAGTCCTTCCCATTCTCTTTGCCTATTTCCAATATTTAGCAAACACCAGTTAGCATTCAGTTCAAGGTGTGCAAGTCATTCCTATGAAAAAAGTCTTTAAATTAGGAAACAAAAACATTGATGGAGCGTGCTCTAAAACAACTATTCTACTGCCATGTTCGGTGCCCCCATTCTGCCAGTTTAAAAATGCCAGTCTTGGCACCAGGGAAAGCCCCACTTAAATACTAATTCACGCAGAATTGGGGGAGGGGGGGACCACCCAATGATTTATCCCAATTCTGTCAGGACACTGAAGAAATTTATTTGTTTGTTTGTTTGTATTGCATATAATTCTTAAGTGCCCATCTCCCAAGAAAGGTGCTGGATGGTGTTCCAATTTAGCCAATAAAATTAAATGTTAAAATCCGAATAATTTAAGATTAAAAGTTTTAAAGTTATAAAAAAATTATACATTCCATTTGTCTTGGGATTGCAAAAAGAAAAAAATACATATAAGTCGTATTTCTGTTTCACTGGAATGGCCTGGACAATCTTAGGCAGCCAGAAGAAAACAATGGTTACAAAACTTGGGAACAAAGAGTTCATATATTCTGTAAACAAATCCCAGCACTGTTTGAAAGATCATGGGGAAAACAACCCCCCCCCCCAAAAAAAAAGCAAGACGCAAGGATTAAACTGAAAAGGCAAGGCTGCATTTTGGGGGGAGCGCTGATAAAATATTGACATGAAACAGCAGCCCAGGGAAAAGAAAATAACAATAATAAAATTTAAGTTGCTTCTTGGATCCGAAGACAGAGGCTCCCTATTTTTGCTGGAAATTTCCAGCAAGCCTTTTTGTGCTTCCGGAGGACGAGGCCTGAAAGCAGCCGGTTTGCAAAATGAACAGGATGTTGCTGTTGTATTGTGAACTTTGAAAAGAGTGGAGGCCGCTTTGTATCAACAAAGGCTTATCTCCCAGTCCAAAACAGGAGGGGTTTCTTTTTCTCAATCTTTACTGACCATGGGGAGCGGGGGGGGGGAGGGGGAGGCAGAGAAACCTACAAAGACGTAGAAATTAACTTGCACAAGTTTATTGAGATTTTATGGGGGCCTCAATTTTCCTTCCTTTGGGTTTGCATGAAAAAGTTTATTTTGACTCGAGTTGCGTCTCTTTGGATCGACGGAGCGGAAACTAGAAATCGCGTGGGTAAATGAACAGGGCTGTTGGCAATGGAGCCATAGAGGCAGGGATTGGATACAGGCAAAAATTGCAATTTTGCTCCGAAGAAGAAGAAGAAAAGACTTTGAAATGATGAGGCTTCCGCACCAACCACCATGGAAGGATCAACATGGAAGCAGAAGGAAAATGCCAACGAGGCTAAATATTGATCTTAGAATACAACTGCAGATGTTCCACAGACGTCTGGATTATGTCAACCAGATCACCAAAATTTTAGCCTTCTAGATCAGTGGGGTCTTTCCCCACTCTTTGTCTGTCCCCCTTCCTCCTCTTCTGAATCTGCCCTTTGCTTGACGTTCTTGCTTCCCTTGAGATGGAGGTCTTCTCCTCCATGGGACCCCAGTTCGTCTCTGCTTCTCACGGTGGGGAAGGGCCGCCTGGATTGGCCATCCTGCTCCTTTTGTGGGGCGAAGGCAACCCGAAACCAGCAGATGCCCCTTCTGGATTCCTCAGATAGCTCCTAAGGCGTCTGTACGGTTGGGATCCCATTACGGAATCCCACCACCTGTCTGCAGCTCAGCTTGGTCTTCTTCTTGGATCACGCAGCTGTTGTCTGCAGCTGTTGGGCCTTCCTTTTTGCCTCTTCCACACACACCCCATGCACTCTCCAAAGCAGTTTTGGGATTCTCAGCCTGAAGCACAATCCAACCCATTTCTTTCTATTCATCTCAGTTGCGGTGCTTTTTCACAACTCAAGAGAAGCGATTCAGAGGACCAACGCCAAAGTCCACATTTCTTGGACGGAGCAAAATCGAAGGAAGAAACCCGCTGGCAGGAGGGGAGCTAAATGAACTCAAATTGCTTTATCTAACAACAAGAAGAGGTGTGACACGTATGAGTATTAACTGTGCAACTATTCAGGGCAGGGCATCTGGGTGTGCATCGCGCTATGAACACGGGGGCAGCCAATATATCCTCTAAATAAATATCAGAAAAGCTCCCTTTATCTTCCCCACAAGAGCTGCCCCTGTATTTTGCAAGGCAGCAGGAGGGGTCAGATCTCTCCTGGGGTGTTCAGGCCAAGATCAAAACATAGCCAAATTAGAATGAAGTCCACGCACCAAGACACCCTTGGAT